TCAACAAGTCGTCACTAAAATGGCTTCCTGCCAGATCACGCATTCGTGACAGCAAGTATGAAGGTCGCTGATCTCCAAGTTCAAGTCCTTGTAGTAAAGTACGTATTTTTGAAGATTCACTTTCTGAATAGATTTCAATGAGCCGCTGTTTCAGTTTGGAGTATTTATCACAATCAGGTGGTTTGAGAATTAAGTCATGCACTGAATTCAGAATATCAGACTCAATTGCTGCAACTACATGGTTGAATTTTGTAGAATCCTCACTAATGCGAGCGATAGAAAATTGTGCTTCGATCTGAGCGAACCACAATGAAGGATTATTTTTCCAGAAAGGCGGTGGCTTCACCGCAACGCGTGTGATTTGTGGCTCTGGTGGAATATCGTCGGGCATACTGATAGATAATTTTCACTTTAATTAATAAACACTTAACAGCACAAATATTGTAGCATGAGGATACACTATTGATATTTTACCATGATAACAATAAATATTTTAACCATGCAGAAAAAAATTTACGTAACGATACACACACAAATAATACAGGGTCAGCAATTACACACACAAATAATATTTTACCGAAATGCATTTGAAAAGAAACCCTTATTTGAGAAAAAAATGATGCGTTCATTTTGTATTGCGCACACACAAAATCACCACTTCACACTGCTAAGGCACTTTCGAAAAGGAAATCACTCCTGTAGCACATGGGAAAAAAATTCACTACTTTCGAACACTGAGGGAAGAATTTTGCCGTAGCACGTTGCAGAAAAAATTACTGATGTAGCACATTTAGCGAAAATCACTATTGTATCACATTTGTCACAAAAGTTGAATGATCGAAGAATTATTGCACGACTGGCGAAGTCAGCGGAACGGAACAGATCACATTGATGATTTGCTGAAGCTCCTTGCGATGATATGCACGACTTTGAAAAAAAAAACACAAGCAATATATATCAATACTTCTAGAAATAATTGAAGGGGTACGTTGTAGCATACGTTTAATGTCCATATTCGTTGTTATTTTTAGTCAGTTCTTCAGAATGCCTTGGATGCACGTGGCTTAGGGTCGTTGAAAATCCATTGTCAGTAGCGTGCTCAGTCAAAAGGTCACCACTTTTGGTGGTCGTGTGTGCTTAATGCATGATATAATTAAAGAAAATAAGAGTAGACAATCTCCTATAACAAAAAGAATATATTAAGTACTAAATTACAATTTAAATTACATTGCAGAGATCAACACAGAGCTCGGAACACAGTTCATGCTACCGTCGCGTACAGTTTGTGACGAGAAGTCTGAGTGAGTAAAGATGTCGCTTTGCTGCTCCGATTAAGAACTGGATTTTACACGTGGCGCCATCTCATGAATAGAAGTTGAAGTATGTCGAACCAAGTTTTAGAGTTTGGTAAAGTTTGCTTTGTTATTCTTTATTTGGAAGGGATTATACGGATTCTATCAAAAGACAAAATTATGTATTTCTGAAATACTATTGAAAAAATTCTGTATAGTGGAGGAAATGCCATTTTTGTGCAATTCTGGGATGTTTTTTTTAAGTAAAAATAAGTCGGCGTGTACATGGTTTATGTGTATGTGTTATTTTGAAAAAATGCGTAAGGAGTATGGTATTGTGCACTTTTTCCCAATTTTGCAGTGAATATTTGTCATGATTAAGCAGTTTTGTTTGATAAAATTTCTAGCATAAGTGTAATTCGGCTAGTAGATTGTTGGAAGAAGTGTTCAGTAGATAAAAAGAAAAGAAACATGTCTTTACTTCGTGAAGACAAAATGGCGGCGGGGAAAAAAAAATAGAGGGTTGCTGTAGGAGAGTTGGTTGCCAAATTTTCACCAAAAAATCGCCAAGTTACCATAATGTAAAGATCAACCAAGAGCTGTTACTGTTACGGCTACTTCCTTTAACTTTTCAGGATAGATTTTTGTAAGTTCTAAAAGAAGTGTCTTGCAAGAGCAATCATATTTATCTATTTCTACAAAGGCCATGTATAAATCTTCTTTGTATTTTTGGTATTTTTCTGTTTTGCCGGCGCAAATGATAAAGTCGCCAATAATGGTATAACTGATGCCAAACGGAATATATTCGCTAGTAACCTTTTAAGCCTTATTTTTGAAACAAGTCGCAGCCATTTCTTACCAGATTGATTCTTTCGTACAATTACATAGAATATTATATATAAAGATAATTAAATTTTATGCCCTAAGACCATTCACGATAATTAAGTCAATTATAATGCAATCACACCATTCGTCCGAAGGCGAAAATATAGAAAAGGCAAAATCAAGGGTTAAATTCATCAATGAGAATGCACTAGCAAAATAAAGCACTGCGATTTAACATAATTTCTGAGTAAGCTATTCGTACGAATTGAATAATTCTTGCATTTAAACTTGTATTCCAAATTAAGTTACAACTTAAAATTAATGTAGATAATTACTGAGAGAATTATATTTTTGTAGTGTAATTTATGTGAGATGAGATCACTTGGGGTCACGTGATACGAACTGGCGAATCAGGGTCGATGTTGAACCATGAAAGCATAGTAAATTCTTAAATTGTCTTTTTACAAGTTTATTGTTTTTATTTGTTGGCTTTTTACAAAATTTTAAACCATATTAAAATGTTTATGCCTTCAAAATAAAAAATTCTTAGAACTAACATTTGTTAACATTTTTTATGTGTATACTATGTTGTCGCCAACAAAGTCTGCTTGGTGAGATTCGCGCCGGCGAAACGGAAAAGTACTGTATTTTTTCATTTTTATATCTAAAGGCTCTTGGTTGTTTATTTTCATTCGCTTTGCCTTAGCATTTTCAATATTATCCAAATATTTTTCAAATTCTAATTCATCAATGGAAGATGAAAGAGATTCAGTTGCAATATCTGCAGTTTGACTGTTCTGATTTGAACACTCCAGGTGTTCTCACAATAATTTCATTCTTAATGAAAGTTTATAAATGGCTTTCTTTGCCTTTTTAATTTGTTTGTCATCCAACAAAATTCGGCATTTTTGATCTACATATATTGAACACAACAAGATCTCATTCTCTAACAAATTTGTTTCACTTTACTTCTTTGAAGAAATGATTCCTTCTGCAATAAAGCCTCAATTTCAGAAAGAACAAACATCACATTATTCAAATTAAATATAAATTATGAGATATCTATTTATTAAATGTTAAATGCATCTGCTCCTGTATTTTTACTTTTCCGGCGTAGCTTCCTCTTAAAAATATCGTGTAAATAATCGTCCTGCATTGCACAGGAAAATAAAAAAATTTGAATTATAATTCTTCTAACATTAGCTATCTAAATACAAAATATTGAACAAAAGAAATTTGAAGTATTATACACTAAAAACTACAAGAGATCCTGATGGTTTTTTGATGTGTTATCAGCTATACCTAAGAATATGTATTGTTAAGAAGGTAAACTTTGCAGCAGCAGGAGTAGCTCCCTTCGAACAAAAAGAGAGACAGCTGCGCATGTGTGAAATACCTGTCGCCGAAATGCGCCAAAGCTCAAAGCTGATGTCGAAGTTCGAACAGGTGAGATGGTCACGTTTATCAAGAGTTTAAAGCTGTGTGACTCCATTTTTTCCCCTCCATATTGACAGATATAAAAGCAGACATCAAACTGCAATATGGATAATGCAAGTTCAACAGCCAGTGAAAGGGAAACTTCACCTAATTTTCTTAACCCGTGTTTCTCAATTTCTTGTACACACCACAGAGGAGTAAAATCTTGGCCAGGTCAGGTACATCACAAAGGGGAAAATTATCGCCAACAGGTTCCGTCGCCAAATTCCTTGCCGAATTTTCCCTCTTCTTTCTAGCGGAATAGAAGACAAACTGGTTTACATTATGTCTATGGAGCCTTTCCTTCTTTACATAGACATTCTTTGGCTATACATGCATAAATTTTTTCCATGCCAGACTTTCTAAAGGAAACAGGCTCATGTCCACATTATGCATGGGAAAAATCAGAAAACCTTTCTTGTGAATACCCCATTTGCCAGATTTTAAACTCGGCTACTGTTTTCAGTGATCTTATCGCTTGGCCAGCGATAGTTTTTAAAAATTGTTTTAATGTTAAAAAATTTGAAGATAATGCAGGGTATGCAACACTGCTATTTATAGCATTATGTGGGATAAATTATCATATATTGCATATAGTTGGAAATCAGTCGGCTAACAATGCTCCTTATTATAGATATCATAGCAAGTGTCTTTGTAGCGTTTCCTATTTCAAAACGAGTTGATTTTTTCCCCCTTTTCTATTGATAATGACAAAACCTACTTCCAAGTAAGCTCGAATACAAAAATCAGAACTTAAATTTACAATGTGTTCACATGTTATATAATTTACAGGCACATATTTGTATTCAAGTAATTTGCACCCATTTCCTTATTAATTTAATAAACGCTTTTTATTATACATGCAAATTTTATCTTTTTTTTTTTAATCTTGTTATATCTGACATGAACTGTTTTTGTATATTTTTTAAAATTTTACTGTGAGGATGATGAAAATATCCTAAGACGATGATCCACATTTTCAAATGATTTGGTTTTCTGTGAAGATAGTCGTTTTAAATAAATGGTGTTCAATACCATTATTTTATTTATTTTTTAGAAAGATTGGTCATTTTCAGAGGTGGTGATCTTAAAGAGGTTATCACACAAGAAGTTTGACTTTATGTCTGAGCTATTCTATATATTTTACCACATCTTCCACTTTTCTTTTTGCGGTAGAAATAATATCTGCAAACAAGAGGTATTTTCATGAACATAATTCCAAGACGACACTCTCAATTAGTACTCTGAATCTTTTTCTTTTAATATATGTTACTTTAATTGTCTAGACACATTCAAGATGTATGTCTACATACTTAAAAATAGCAAAACTAATATTTTTAATGTGTATATACAATTTGACAGTTTAGAGGGTTAATGTGAAAACTTTTTCTTCTAGGATTGCTCAAAATGCCTACTGTTATTATATTAGACACATCCCTGTCCATGTGCAGGCCAGTACAAATGGCAGATGTTTCTGAACCATATCAGTTCCGTAATCTTGCAGTTCATGGTCTAACATCCTTATTAGATTATATGAACATCAACTGTAAACTGGAGTTTGTTGCATTTGTAAGTACATGTATATATATTTTAAATTTCTTTATTGAATAAATATTTTAAAACTAATTGTCACAGATTTATGTACTCTTGCATTGTCTGCCCAACCCTCCAGTAAAGTTTCTAGTTGTTGGCAATTAACTTTTCACCACCCTAAAGCATAAAAAACAGTAGCCATAAAATGACAACAAATTAATGAAATTAAAAGCAGAAGAAACATCTATAATGAAACACTGCTAATTACATAAGCAGACATCTGTAATGAAGCATTCAAAATTACATAAAACAGTGGCAAGTTAACTGAATGTAGAACACAGTAAGCATCCACAATAAAATATGTGTTTCTATTTTTTTTTTTTTTTTTTTTTTTTTTTTTTTTAAGTGTTCTGTTTATCTACACAGCAATCGGTTTTAATTTAAAAAAGAATCGGGGAATTGCTGAATTCTCGGCATGCCAGAGCAGATTGGCACTGCTGTCTGTGAATACCTGTTAAATAATATCTGAGAATTGCAAAAATTAACTTCATGGAATGTACATTACAACACTTTCTTATTCATTAGCAAGCAAACTCCACAGTTTTATTAAGATTCATTACCAAACAAAACAAACAACAACAACAAAAAAAAAAAAAAAAAAGAGGAAAGAAAGAAAAGAAACTCCTTACATGAATCACAAGCAGAAACCACAAACATCACGCTTCAATTTCAAAATTGCATACATTACCACCACCGAGATAAACGGTGACATTTCACGCTGGTGTAATGCGCAGGCAACTGTAGTGAGTTACAAACTAATACACTTTCATAAAATTCTGACTTACTTACTTTGGTGACATAGTGCTTTGCCCACTAATTTTTATCCTGGTGATAATCTAATCCTTTTATCCAATGTGATAGTACCTAAATCTATATTTATATAGGGTATTTATTTCAGAACTGGATTCAGAAATGTATGTGTGTGTATGTACATGTATGCATACATGTGTGTGTGTACATGTATTATGTGTACATGCATACATGTACACACACACATGTGTTATGTGTACATGCATACATGAACACGTACATCCATACCTACATGCATTTCTGAATCCGGTCCCAATAATAGAAGACATTGTTATGTTATATGATTACTGATGAAAATACATTTATGATTACTTATTATGGAAGACATAACCAAAACTGTCTGTCATAATAAATATTTGGAAAGTGCAGAGATCTGTATTATTAGGCTTGGAATTATTTCCCCACCCCAACGGCGGGCACTTGCCTATAATGGCATTGACCACTACTGAGACCAAAAATGGTGGCTATTTTATTGTGAAGGCACGTAATAGACAACCATCATTATCTCCTATGAAGGGACAAACAATTTTACATCCATGCCTTTTCCAGGATTTGAACCCAAGCCCTTTGGTATTGCAGTCAGGTTTGCTAACCACTATGCTGTCTGGGCAGTATGGCTTAGAATTATTATGCATAGTATTAGTTATTATGCTTATGCATTATACTATTAAATATTGTTATAACACAGTTATGTTGCTATGATTGTGACTCTTTATATAATAAAGTAGTATTTATTATATCATTGTTTATGTGGTATGCTGTGAAAGGTGAAGTTGCTTAGAAAAAAATAGTTACACTTTGAGGAGAGCTTTTTTAACAATGAAAATATGCCATCTAGGAATTTCATATGGTGATCCTCAAAAAAGCAATTTTCACACTAGCATTAAAAGCTATCACTTTCTTGGTGAATTGTGGGTCAGGTGAGTGTCATTCTGACAGCTGGCATAGAGCCAATCAGATTGCCTTTCAGAAAGGCAAAGCATGTTTCCAGTAACCTCCTGAATATGTTATGATATGCCAGATTTGCACGTGGTGCATATAATCAAGTACTCAAAGGTAAAAAAAGTCTGAAAGCTTTCAGATTTTACGCTTAAAGAGGCTTGTGGGTTACCTTTAGTTATTAAACATCACTTAAACCATAAAATTCAGTTCAACAGCAATATCGCAAAATAAATTTAAAATGAGCATATCTTTAGAATTTCTGATATGCAGTCTCATGCACTGGAGATAATCCCCCCCCCCATACAGTATTGCCATTGCTCGCTTTGAAATAGTTGAGTTTGTTAATCAAAAATTCATTGAACAAAATATGAAATCGCTAGTAAAACAAATTCCAAATTAGAGCTTCCAGATGCCCATATTCGGTGGAAGATTATGTTATTCAAAATTTGATGGCTCTAGGTTTTATTGTCTTATCACAATGCTAGAAACATACATACATTTATGCAGATTCTTCATTATTTAATTTCTTTAAATATATGTACACAGGACTCTAATATTTGGTGGCAATAATTTGAAAAGTGAACCGACATTTATAGTGAACCAATGCAAAATGCCAAAATAAAACTAATAGCCTTTCTGGGCTAATGCCTTTTGGGCTTAAAAAAAAAAAAAAAAGAAAGAAAGAAAGTGTGATAAGCGTAAAAGAATATTTTTTTGGAAAAAAAAAAGAATTAAAATTTTATTAAAATTTTGGAATAAAAATAAAAAAAATTGAGCAGAGATGTTTCTTCAGTTGACTTGCAAATTGAATCTTAAAACAAAAAATCTAGTATTGTGCTGATTTTTCATTAGTATTTTTGCTATTGGTGTTTTATTTAAATATGCTAAATATATTTTTTCTTTCCCATTGAATTCTAACAAAAAATTACACTTAATCAGTATTGTATATGCTTATATTAAAAGTTTTTCATCACAAGTGTGTTGATTTCTTAAAAAAAAAGTGCTTTTATAACCTTTCAGAATTTAGCAAGTGTTGTAATATTACTAAGGTGATTGTTTTGTAGTTATATATTATTTAATAGGATAGATATAACAGGCCTCCATTGCCACTGTGTGAACAATAACTTCCATTCCAGGATTTATCTATGATACTTAGGATAACATGAACTTGCCTATGCCCGTGTACTAGCTTAGTGCTTGGCCCTTTAAGTTTATCATAGCAGTAGTAATCGTTTTGTAATTCTAGAACGGGATGTAATGTAAAATACAAGTCTAGTTGTTCCAGGAATGACTTAACAGAATATTTTCCATCAAAAGTCGCAACAGGTTTCATAACGGCCCACATGTTCTCGACTATCAATCCAAAACTCTGCATTGGGTTAAGTGGTGCTAATGGGACTTGAAGCAAAACAAATTTTCCATTTTCCAGTGACATGGTTCAAAAACCTTTTTGGGCACCAATATAAGATTTTGCTAAATTAAAGTGGTTAGTAGAACTAGCATCCACTAAACCTTTAATTCATAACATATTCTTTCATTTCTGCACCATTTTGGTGTCCATATAGTAGTAAAATACAGTTTTTTCATTTTGTCATTTTTCTATGTAGTCCTTTTATTTTTATTCCAAAATTTTAATAAAATTTTAATTCTTTTTTTTTCCAAAAAAATATTCTTTTATGCTTATCACACTTTTTTTTTTTTTTTTTTTTTTTTTTTTAGCCCAAAGGTCATTAGCCCAGAAAGGCTACTATTAGTTTTATTCATCATTTGGTCATTGCCAAATTGTATAATCCAAATGGGTTCTTTAATATTAAAAGAAAGTTAAAAGAATAAAGGGAAAATTAATTGTTTGATGATCATATTTTCTGCCTATTGATTATGACATCATTGCATAACTATTCAAAGGTGAAATAAGTATAGGTTGCTGTAATGTTTATAAAAACATTTTTGAAGTAGGGGCTTATTTTTATAAATTAGAATGTTCCGTGGACTACTTTACTCTTGTCTTCTTTTAAAGCAATTTTTTTTTTTAAACTGTATTTTACCACCAGTAAGAAATACTTAAGGTTTTATTTTTATTTTTTAAAAATGTGAGTTATGGTATAAAAGTTTGTTTTTTAAAGATTTTCGGTACTTTTCTGTTTTGCCGGTACAAGTGATAAAGTTGCCAGAAATGGTACAACCAATGCCAAACGAAATATTCTCGATGGTAACCTTTTATTTTAACTTTTACATTTGCAAAACAAATTGCAGCCATTTCTTATCAGGTTGATTGTTTCTTTCAATACTGGTGTACAATTTCATAGAATTTTTACCAGATAATTCAATTTTATGCCCTAAGGCCATTCGCAGTAATTAAGTCAATTAGGATGCAATCACGCCGCTTACCCGATGGCAAAAATATAGAAAAAGCAAAGTCAAGGGTTAAATTCATAAATTCTAATGAGAATGCACTAGCGAAGTAAAGCATTACGGTTTTACATAATTTTTTAATAAGCTATTCGTACAAATTGAAATACATTGCATTCCAATCAAGATTTAACTTGAAATTAATGTAGGTAATTACTGAGAGAATTAGATTTTTGTAGCGTAGTTACGTGAGATGATAGTTGGGGTTACGTGATATGAACTGGCGAATCAGGATGTTATATGATGATAGCATAGTAAATTCTTAAATTAATGTCTTTTTACCAATTTATTGGTTTTTTACAAATTTTTAAACTACATTAAAATATTTATACCTTCAAAATAAAAAATTCTTAGAACTAACATTTGTCAACACTTTATGTGTATGCTGTGTGTTTTCGCCAATAAAGTCTACTTGGCGAGATTTGCACCGGCGAAGCGGAAAAGTACCAAATTTTCCTCAGGTAGACCAACACATGCATAACTTAACATAAACCACTTCATATGTCAAATTTCCAAGGTTTTGACCTTTTAAACCTAAACTATATAGATGTCTCAGATCATTAAAAATAAACATCACAAAATTAAAACCACTTGTAAGATTAATATTCCAGACTCTTGTAAAGTAAAAATCATTTTGTGCATATGTATCCTTTTTATTAAATGTTTTGACTAGTGTTCTTCATATTTTGATTAGTTAATAATGATGGTTGTTGTTAATTTATCAGTCTTTTTGACTACGATGATTTAAATTAATATTTATAATCAATTAGTAATGATTGTCTTTTTAACAGATGACATTTAGCTCATATCGAGAGACTATTGTACCATTTACTAGAGATTTTGATAATATAAAAGGAACTCTCATTCAGCTGGAATATTATGACAGGGCCCGGATTAAAAAGGCATTAGAAGGTGTTCAAAGTCTAATAATGGAAGAATGGGGTGCAGGAGTACCATGTCAGGTAAATAGAATACTGAGTTGGTAAAAGCTCTGTTCTAAAATTAGTATTACTAATTGAGTCTTGCTTACAAAATTATTCTAAAGTGAGTGTTGCTTATTAATTGTAGTTGTTTTTTGATGCATTTATTTTTAAATTTTCAGATTTGTCTTAGGTATAATTTTGGAGTAACAATTCAATTTGCTGAAAAATTACAGTGTTTATTGAAACTGTAACTGCTGAGAATTTAAATGTATATATAAGAGTTTAAATATTTAAGTATATAATTATTAACATATAATTTATACAGAAAAATTATCCAGGGAGAGCTTTACCAAAGAATAATAAATTATGATAGATTGAGCAGTTTTTTCCGAAGGATATTTAAACAAAATTCTCTTTGAGCATTAAAATATTAAAAAGAATAATAATTAATTTTTCTTTTCTGTCTCTCATACTGATTTATTTTTATAATTTCCTGAAATTGTTTTAAAGTTAAAAGTTTAAAAAAGTTTTTAAAAATAAGTTATATTTTCTTCAAAATAATCATCTCTATGAATTTGTCAAAGCTGCTGGAATCATCTTGGAACCCAATTTTAAATACTTCATTAAGGTGATTTGTTGTAGTGAGGATTTAGGTATCTGAATTGGTGTTTCTTTCAGCCTTAATTTGAAGTGATGAATTAAAGAAAAAATTAATGTTCTCAAATTTGGATAATGATGTAGAACTGCAGTTTTGTTTTCACTTTGAGTGTTACAAGATAGTTTTTAACAAGTATGGAATGCTCTTGTGAAGTGTATTTAAACTTTTTTGTTTTGTTTTTTGATTTTTAGTTCCCCGCCCCTTTTTATTCATCAACTGTTAAAATATATCATTATATATTTCCTTTTAACTGTTTGCTTTTCAAGAAATGTTCTGTCTCAAATTTGTCTGTGCTATTAAAAAAAATTATTATTTGTATCAGCCATAATAATTAGATCTTCTGTTACTAGCTTTTTCATTTGCTCTTTCCAAATTCTTTGGAGTTTTTTCACTCAAATGGGATGCCCTGCATTTATTGGATACTCAAAGTAGATGATAATCTTTATTTTTTTTTTTTTTTTTTTTTTTTTTTTTGTCTTTCCTCTCTCCTTTTTTTTTTTTTTTTTTAACCCTATTGCGAATTACAGTGAAATTAATGTTCATTATTCCTTGATAGGAAATTTCTGTTCTCTTTACAAGTGGGGAGTACTGTAGAGAAAGTTGTGGTGGGCATTATGTCACTTTTATGTAATTAATCTAAAAAAATTATTTGAACTGAGATTGAAGAAGGGTGTGGGACAGAGATGTGGTAAGAGATTTAATGAAGTACAAATATCAAACATTTAAAACTTGTAAATAGATTCTAAATAATAGCATGTTTCAAAAATTGTAGAAAGATAAGCATGGCATTTTTATTTGAATCAGCAAACAATAACCACCGATGCTGATTTAGTGTTGAAATTTACTCAGTTTTTCTTGTTACACGGTGTCCATTGTACATAATGGAAAACTAGCTTCAAATTGGATCTTTGAAAAGAAAGGAACATGGTGATAACTTTCATTTAAACAGTTCTAATAGTGTTAAAAGTGTATGTGATTATGATATTAATATCAGTGATGCTAGTGTAAAGTGACCACACGTCCCGATTTTGGTGGGACAGTTCCACTTTTTAGAGGACTGTCCTGCATCCCGCCGATTTTTTAAAATGTCCTGCTTTTTAGAAAGCATCTGCATTTCTGATTTTAAATGTACTGTAAGAATATATTACCTATTATTTATTAATTATTATAGTGAATATAAAGAAATAAAAAAACACAATGCGTGCAAAGTAAACTAAATTACCGTAATTTCTGGAAGAAAGGCTGCATCAGCGTAAACGTCGCACTCGAGAAAAATGGTGGGAAAAAAAATTAAAATTACACAGAAATGCTGCAATAGATTAAATTGCGCGTTACATCGTCGTGGGCCGTATATAGATGCAAAATCTCAACCTATGTCCTGATGTATGACATATCAGTTAAGATAAATGCATGAAATGAAACCATAACTCAAAAATAAATTAAAGGTAAGAAATGTTGAAAATATATTTACGTTCACGAATATACTTATATTTACCCACTAAAGAAGTCCATATTTGTAATACTCAGACTATATTATAAAAAATGTTGCAACAACGAAATATTAAATTTGGATTACAAAAAGAAATTTTTAATTTTACTTACAAAAGGAATTACACCAAACTATACATCATTCAAAGCCATCAAAATCTGATTCTTCACTATCTGAATTAAAAAGATTTAGTAAATTCTGATCTAAGTCTTTCAGATTGTCAGATTCATCCTCTTGGTTTACAGTTTTCTTTATCTAAAGATATAATTTCAGCTTCTTTGAACCCTGCTATTATTGACGATGTTTTTACCGAATTTCACGGACTTCCCACCCACTTTGCAACTTCTTCATAAGATGCTCTACGAATTTTACCGCTTTTGGTATACGTATGCAATCCTTCACTCATCTAGCACTCCCACCGCTTTCGGACTTCAGCTTATTATTCAGAAGGATTTATTACCTGACAAATCTAATGGTTGTAAGATTTTTGTCAAACCACCAGGAATTATTGCTACGGTCCTAGACAATTTTTGACATCTGGTTTTCACTGACTCAAGTAAATGAGCATGCATGGAATCTATTTTATCAATAAGCCTTTGGTTGGAAAAAAGATCCCTTACGACACTGCCAAACTTTTTGTAGCCACTCATGCATGATTGTTTCTCACATCCAGCCGTTCTCGTTTGCACGAATAATTACGTCACTAGGAAAATCTCCCTACGGAATAGTTTTCCGTTTAAAAATGATCATCGGCTTTAGCTTGTCACCATTTGCGGCACAAGCTAACACACATGTAAATGACATTCTTTCATGCCCCGTCGTAAGCAGAGATACAGTTTTTGCACCAGTTTCATCAACAGTTCTGTTTGCAGGAGAGTCGAAAGCTAACGGTGTTTCATCCATATTTATTATCTATGACCGAAAAAGTTTTCTTTTGTCAATAATATCTGTCACATATTTTAGAAAAGATGCCTTTTTATCCTGCCAGTCCATTGGTAATTGTTGCCCGACTGTTGTTCTAGTACACACAGAAATATTTTTTCTTTTCATAAATCTGCTACACCAGCAAGGCCCTCCTTTGAAATCATTTATGTTTTATGTCCATTTGCTTTGCTATAAATTTTGCTTGTAAGCGAATTTTTACAGTCGAAATTGCCATTCCTTTTTTCGTTGCTCCTTTATCCAATTTGCAAAGTCGTCCTCTAGATTCGGCCACCTTACAGTAGCACTTCTTTTGGCTCGTTTCTGTTGTGGCATATTTAAGTTCTTCTTTTTCAGTTTTCCAACGTCGAATACATCTCTCGTCCACTTCAAACTCTCGAGCTGCTGCTCTATTTCCAATTTGTTCAGCACGTGAAATTACATTACGCTTAAAACCAGCAGTATAGCTTCTGTGCCATTTAGGTGCCATTTTCAAAATTTTTCCGCTCCCTTCTTACTTAAAAACTATTCAACAAGTACTTGTACCCAAACTGATGGGATCTGTATCTGGCAGAATGCCGAGAAAAATCGATTCATGCTGAAGGGGAAATACGTCGGAGTTCGTTATTGCGAGGCAGGTGGAGTCGTGTCCGCCTTTGAAAAAAATTGCAGAAAAGGCAGGGGTGGGGAGAGGCTCGGTCCTGGAAGATTCATCGAATGGCAGAGGAGAGAGACTATTCAAAATGATGAGAATGCTAATTTGAAAGGGGGAAGAATGTTATTGTTCTGAGATCCCGTTTAGGGTGACTAAGGCATGTAGGTCCGTTCAAGGGAAAGAATGTAAACAAAATAACGTTCACAAAAAGCAACTGAGTGGTCTTTTGTGTGGGAACAGCACCAGTCTATGTACAATGACCGGCCATTCAAACTATGTACAATGACCATCATAGGAAATATTTTATTTTTAGTGCACCTAAACGCCGCACCCGCTGAAAATTTAAGTTTTAAACACGTAAATGCCACGGCGTTTCTTCCGGAAATTACGGTAGGTGATGTAACTGTTGGCAGTGGCGATAAAGGCAAAGCATATTTTGCTTCCAATAAATAAAGCTAAGATAAATCTAAATAAAATTCATGTTTTATTCCGTAAATTAAAATAAAATTAGCTAACACTGTAGCCTTTACATTTAAAATCATTTGAGTGAAAGAATAGCAGCATTATGCTAGCTCATAATAAAAAAGACAAAACAAGACATACGCCGATACCGACATACATATATATAATACTCGGCCAACCCACCAATCTTGACGTCAGCGGCAACCACGTTAGCTTACCTCCGATCAAAATTTGCATGAGGAAAACTAAAGCCAACAAACAGCCCTCTTTTCCTCATGCAAAGACAAAAACAAAACTTACACAGAATTACAGAAGTTCATAGTTCATTTCTATTATACGAAAACACTTATTGACTTTAAACACTGAAAACATCTAAACAAAACTTTCTTAAATTAACAGCAGTTGCTGCTTTTGTAAATAAGTCCGCAGTATTTAATTTATTGGTGATAAATTCAAGTTCAAACACTCCATCATTTTCTAGTCTTCTAATAAAGTGATATTTTATGTCTATGTGCTTAGTTCAGCAATTTTCTATTGGCGATCTAGAAAAATCAATGGCAGACTTATTATCACAAAATAGTTTACATTCTCTTAAATTAAACTTTAAAATTTCATCTTGTAAGACATTTTTCGTCCACATTAATTCCTCATTGCCTCCGATAAGGCGATACTCCGCTTCCATGGTTGATAAACTTACACATTTTTGTTTAACAGTTTTCCAGATTACCGGTACTTCATCTAAATATAATATAAATCCTCCCATGGACATGTGGTCATCTCTATTACTTGCATAATCAGCATCTGAATAACAATATAAATTTAGATGTTTAATCTTCGATAAGTTTAACTTATATAATTTAGTATTATTGAGGTAACCAAGCAATTTCAACAATGCTTCCCAATGCCTAATTACAGCATTCTCCTGAAATTGTGATAAAATATTCACTGCATATGTAATGTCAGGCCTTTTCCTGTTAGCTACAAAAACTAAACATCCCAACAGATTTCTAAAGGGTAATGTATGCATTTCCGCAATTTCTGCACTTGTAGATGGACAATCTAATTTTGTAAAAATAGTGCCTTTAGCTATGGGACGTGAAGTTATTGGTATCTGGAAATGTTTAAATTTTCCAAAAATTTCTTCGATATATTTTTGCTGATGTATAAAAACCCCATTCTCATTCTCTAAGAATTCAATTCTAAGTAACGTTTTAGTTTTGCCTAATACTTTAAGATCAAAAAACTTACTCAGCTGTGAAATTACTTTATATATACTATATTGATCTTTACTAAAAATCACAATATCATCTACATATAACAAGAGAATTACATTTGAACCCTTATAAACACAATTACACCATTGTATTTTCTTAAAATGTAGATTTTCTAAAGTACTTTCAAATTCACAAAACCATTCATGGCAGCTTTGATGTAGACCGTAAATGGCCTTGTGTAATAAATACACTTTATTTTTCTCTTCAATAAATCCCTCTGGTTGGGTCATATATATTTTCTCATTTAGGTTTGCGTATAAATATGTGTTCTTTACATCCAACTGACAATTAGTCCATCCATATAAACATACCAGGATAGTGAAAAATATTCTTATGACTGAAAAATTTACTACAGGACTGTTAAAAGTCATCAAAATCTTCACCTCTTTTCTGCCTGAATCCCTGTGCTACTAAACGTGCTTTGTATCTAACCACTTGATTCTTTTCATTTCTTTTTAGCGTATAGACCCATTTGTTTCCTATCATAGTTTTATTTTCTGGCTTTTCGACCAATGCCCAAACCTTTCTTTTCTTCATTTTTTCAATTTCTTCTTTCGTTGCTTTATCCCATTCTTCGGCATTTACTGATTTTAGTGCTTCTTTAAAATTTTGTGGGATAACAATTTCTACAAAATTTGCCTCTTCAGACACGGAGCTAGTCTCCTGTTCTACAAAATTAACTTTCCTCAAGTATTTGTTTTTTCCACTAAAATCAAACTTATCTTTTTCATATTTAATATTTCTTGCCTCACAATACTTTTCAATATCATTATAGGATCTAAAACGGGTGTCCGTTCCCTCTACATTATAATAAATGTCTGTACGTGTTCCGTCTGGCCTTTTAACTGCTTTTCTTTGGCAGTTTAAGTCTGATACTTCTTTCGGAGTAGATTTGTCATCTGACAACTTTATTTCTTCTCTGGAATTTTCCTGTTCTTCATCTGATTCTGCTAATAGCTCAGATTGCTCTAGTCTTTTAAACTTAGTTTTTGGTTTCTGTACCAGGACGCCATTTGCTGCATTTAGTTTTTCATTGAACTTCACATTACAGGTTTCTATTAATCTTCTTCTGGTAGCCATATCCTATAACTCCTAGTTTCCTTTGCATATCCTACCATGATTCCTTCTTTGCACCTCATTTGTAATTTATTTCTTATCTGTTTTGGCACGCCAACATAGGCTTTACAACCAAATATTTTTAAAATAAACAACACTGGGTTTTCTATTTAGTAACATTTCTTAAAGGGTTCAGTTGCTTTTATGACATACTCTGTTCCATGTATGTATGAAACAGCAAAGAGCTTCTGCCCACCGTTCTTTTCCCATTTTACCATCATTAACTGCTTTAACTGCGTCTAATGCTGTTTGGTTAAAACGTTCACTCACACCATTTTCTTTTGGGGTGTACACATTTGTGCGTTCAACACTAATTCCATTTTCGGCTAAGTACCCTTCGAATTACCTATTACAGAATTCCCCACTGTTATCGGTGCATGTATTTGTCAGTCTTTCCATTTGCGTATGATAATTCTTAAAGTTGTAGAATGACTCATTTTTATTTTTCATGCAATACACTGTTACTAATCTACTATAGTCATCCACAATAGCAAGGAAATATTTACTCCCACCCTTAGATGGAACTGGTAGTGGGCCACAAACGTCTAAATAAACCAACTGCAATGGTTTATCCGAGTCTGCAATGGTTATAAGTCAACAAATACTAGAGTGAATTTAAAAGAATGCATTTATTCTATAGTGGTTTATGCGCTGTCGGCGGATTTAATTCAATCCAATAAGTTTAAATGAAATGCAAGAAAAAATTCGCATAATTTAATATTCCAATTAATTATTCCAATACAAGGAAGTCATGTGGTGTACACATCAGATTTTTTTTTTTACCTTCTATTGAGTCAACACAGTGATCAATTCTGAAATGTATTGTCATCAGTTGGACCAATAGAATGATTCGCATAAGGCCAGACTTGGTCAATAGTAAAGGTGTAGTGTTCCACCAAGATAATGAGAGACCTCATACAAGTTTGGTAACTTGCCAAAAGCTTTTGGAGCTTGGATGGATTATACTGTGACACCCATATTCTCCAGATATGTCACCTTCTGTTTATTATTTGTTCCACTCTCTACAAAATTGTTTAGATGGTAAAACCTTTACTTCAAATGAGGAAGTCAAAAATCACCTGGATCAATTTTTTGTCAGCAAAGAAAAAATAAATTATGAGCATGGAGTCATGCTACTGCCGCAAAAATGACAAAAAGTATTGGACCAAAATGGACAATACATAATTCTATTAAATATTTATTCACTCTAAGAAAATTTTCTTTCATTTTCATATATATATATATATATATATAAACACATAAGTTACTTTCCTAACAACCCAACAGTACCACAAGCACAAGGACAAAATTAACGTGTGAAAATAACTGCGATTGGGCAGCAAATGATCAACAGTTACATTTTGACATCAACAGAAACAACTTCAAAGCAGTTGAGTTTCAAGTGTAAGATGACCGGTACAAATATATTTTGAAATGCATTATTCGAACAAAAACATTATTCAAATTGATAACTGTGTACCACTAGTCATTTACCTGAGATGACCACCTCTCTAGAGCAAACCAAAATCATCTGGAACAATAATATCTTGCTAAATTTCATTGCCTTATTTTAATTTCAATACAGTACAAAGTCCGTAATCCAGACTCGTCGAGACTTCAGCGATTCCGGATTAGGGGTTTTTCCGGATTATAGATCATCAGTTTAAATCTGGTAAGATGGCATGCAGAAATTATACAATTAAAATTATGAAACTCTAATTTATGAAATAAAGAGCAATTATGATCTAAAGGGTGTCAAAAAAAAGCTTAATATTTATGTGTTACTTCAGTAAGCATTTCTTTCAATGTAAGTTGTTTAAGTTGTTTCATTTTTTGTGCTAATACTTTCTCTTTAATTCTATAAACAGACATAATTTCTTGTTCAGTTACAAAGCTCCACTGTTCAAGTCCTCCAGTTGCTGTGTCGAGAATACCGACTAACTTGTCAATTGAAATTTTTTCGTTTTTAATAACGTTCTCTGCTACTTTCTTCACTATCAGAAGCGCGCATAGGTAAACGCTTTATGCGCATGCATAGCGGATGCGCGCATCATACAGGCAATGCGTAGATTTGTGGCTTTGAGGTCCGGATTATAGATCATCCCAGATAATGGACGTCCAGATTACGGACTTTGTACCGTGTAACTTTTAGATTAGTGATCTCAAAAATAGAACTCCACTTGATGCAAAAATTTTTGAAAATGGTGTTTTAAAAACTCCCAAAGGATTAATTTAATTCTCTAATTCAGATTATTTTTTCAGAGTCTAAATTATTCTGTTTTCTTCTGTAATTTGTTAATGAACTAGTTGTAAAATATGATTATTTTTTGAAGTATTTACCACATTTTAATTGTTCATTTCTCTTTTAAAGGTTATTCTTGTAACTGATGGATTGCTGGGTCCAGAAATTGATTCCTTAAAAGCTGATATTGAAAATTATTTTACTGCTACAGAGAAAGGAATGGATGACAACAGTTTCCCTTTACCATTTCCCTTTCCATGTAAATTACATGTTACTTGTATTGCAAACTCATCTGATCCTTGTCTTCAAGCTGCTCTTCCTACATATCAAAAATTAATAGACATAAATGGCAATGGAGGGCAGGTGTTTATTCCAGATGGACTGCTAAGCTTTAAAAGTGTGCAAGGAATATTCATGAAATTAGCTGATCTGTATTATAAGCCATTTCATGGTGTCCTTCACTGTGGCAATCTTACATCAAATGTTTCATTATCACCACCTCCAGAACCATTTTGCAAACATAGGGATTTTGATATAGTAAAAGCAGAGATGTCAACTGATATTGTTATATGTGGTTTCATCAGTATAACTGATGTTGCAAGTCCACCATCACATTCAAGACATTTGGTTTTACCCTTGCAAAGTTGTAAAGGTAAGACCTGAATACATATATATTTAAGTAAAACTGAGATATCAGTACTCAAAATAACGGAATATATTTTATGCATTAAATTAATTAATCATATATTCGTATATTAGAATTTGTTAACAAAAATTAGAACTTAAGTTACCGTATTTCACATTAAATAAAAAATTGTAGTTGTTAGTGTGATTTTTGGTAGTAGTGTCTGTAAAAGGATAATAAATTATTTTTATTAACAATTTGTGCCATGATGTGTGGTATTAATATAATGAATTATAGTAGTAAAACCCTGTTATGAAGATTTGCAGTGTCTTATTGATTATCAAATTGTTGAATGGGAAGATTTATTAAGAGGGAAAATTTATTAGAAATAACAGATTAATTACTATATATATATAGTGTAAAAATAAGAAAACAAATTCATCTCATTTATACACAACTACTCTTAGTGAATGCAAAGAGGTTTGAAAAAAGTCCAGAATTTTTCCCTCTGAGTTTCACAGAAAGTGAATTCATCTTCTCAAATGTTTTAAGGGACAGTTTAAAAAAAAAAAAAACACCAGTTAATGCTTAGAATGAGATTAGGAATTCAGAATCCCATTTTAAGAAGGCATTTTACTACCTTTCTACTTCCCTCTTGCACATATTAATTCTATTTGCAGAATTGTTCAGTAGGTTACATTGCATGTGAAATGACATTGTATCCCCATGAATAAATTCTTCATAGGAAATTATATCTAAGTAGACAGTTCAAAAAATGAAGTAATAAGCTCCCTCATATACAAATTTTGTTCTACAGGTAGATATATGGATACACAGCAAGGTATTGATAAACACTACTTTTCAACATAGTCCCCGTGCATGTACAGTCATTTGGTGCACCAGAACATTGTTGTCAGCCTAGAGAAAACCAAAAAACCAGTATCGAGTTCTAGAGCTATTTTGAATTTTTTAACTTGACAGTTTCACGAGTCCTGGAGCTATTTTGAATTTTTTAATTTGACAGTTTCAATGTATGCTGTGGATGATAAATTTCTGCTAATCAGGTTTGTTTTAGGTGCAGAAATCTTATTACACTTGTCACTTTTGTGAGCAGCATTCAACTATGTTTCCAGTACAGTTTTAGTACAGTCGTCTTGCAACTGATATTTCACCACACTGAAGCAGTGCATGTACCATTTCTGGTGGTGTTCAAATGCTGTAATCATTTGCTGTCCCTCCCCCCCCCCAAGGATAGAAAAGTAACAAGATGATTATCAATGAGATGAAAATTCTTATTTTCTTATCAAATTACCTTCATATAATAATAAAAAGGAGGTTTAATATTTGTGTTTGTCTGTCTATATCACATAGCACAGAATCATGCTCCGAGTTATGAAATTTAGCCTTGTTGTTGTTTGGATGGGGCTGATGTGCATCTCAAAGCAACTTTTTAAAAATTCAATTTTTTTTAATTTTAAATTATTTTTTATGGATTTTTGCACATGTTATCACTGAAACTGATAATTAAAAAATTTCGTTTTCTGGATTGTCAGAAACAGCTGAAAATTATCTTTTAAATAATATTTTTTCCAGATCTCTAAGGTAATTTCCTGATTGTTGATGCTTCTAAAGAATAACTCAGTTGTTTAGATTCATGTTCATTCATATTTTAAAATTTCAATATAAAAAATATATCTTTCGTGAATTTAAAAAAAAAATTTTCTGTTTACAAAACAATTTGCTTTTTTTTTTTTTTTTTTTTTTTTTAAATAAGGATAATGAAAAATAGTAATTAGGTGAAATTCTGTTTTTTTTTTTTTTTTTTTTTCCCTGTATTTATGCAATTTCCATTGTGATTTTTAACAAGAAAAGTTTTCTTCTTTCATGGTCTTAGAGCCATGTGACTCTGCTTGGAGATGCATTTTTGAGCGGTAAAGAAAAAGATGTCAAATGACTTGTATCTTTTTCTTTATTACTCCCACTTTTCTCTTCTTGCTGTATTATAAAAAAAGTTGTTGGCAAAGGCATTAGTTTTGTTATTCATGTATTAATTTTAAGTGCTGTGTTCTTTGCAGCATTTATCAGTTAGCAGCCACTTTTTTTTAATTTTATAATTTTACTTTTTGTATGATTTATATAGTTTCTCTACAGTTTTCTGTAGTTTTTTCATTATTATATTATTTTATTAATTTTTCATTGTAATTATTTCCTGTTTTCCCCTTCTTCCAAAACAGGTTTTTCATTTAATTATTTTGTTAATCTAATTTTTTGTGATTTAATTTTTACTTTCAATCTAATGTATATATCAGCAGAATTTTGGATAAGTCTTGCATTTAGAATTATTTACTGACAAGCTATCATTTTACCATTTTGTGTGTATATATGCATTCAAATAAAAATATTGTTTTTTCTGAAAATATTTAAATCTTTTTGATAGCATTGTTGTTAGTATGTATTGTAATAGTATATATTATTTTAATTTATTGATTATTTGTTGCATTTAGGATATTATTTTTAGGGTTTTTGTTTATATTTGAATTTATGGTTTTGTTTTGATATTAGTGTTTATTTCTTGCATGTAATTGTACATCTTTCAATTCTGAATCTAACAACATTTAAATTGCAAAAAATATAGCTCAACTAGAATGCAAGATAACAGCAAACATGTTCTTGATGCCCTTGGTCAATTTTTATCAGCAAACTGTCGATTTTTTGTAAGTTTTCAGAAAATTTCATATAACCTCATATTAACTTAGCTCTGACAATCAAGATGAGTAATTAATCAGCTTTGAGATTTTGTGGTTCAAAGTAGTGTTAGCTGAATTGTCTTTTAAAATTTACTCTCTGAGTGTAATCAGAAATTTATGGTATTTTTCATGCACTAGGAAGATTTGTTTAGAATATGCATTCTATTTGGGCTATTTACAATTTAATTAAAATAAAATGTCTATTTCTGTGTGCTCATATGGAGTGATTATTTAAAGAGACAGCCACAAAACTTGCAATAAATAGTGTCAGAAGTGGGATTTCGTTAAATGTCAGTCGATGCTAACAGAGAGGAAGCTACTGAGATGAGAAAAGAGGCAGCTGAAAATGCCACCAAAATGAAAAGTTCCATCAATGGAAATGCCACTGAAATAAGGAAAAGAATGGATGAAGGAAAAATTGTAAATGCTATAAACGAGAAAGTAGCCACTGTAGAAGGAAAACTTAAGAAATGGATTGTAAGTGAAAAAAAGAAAATTGTCTGTAAATCAAGAAATTGAAATAAATCACTGAAGAAATTTCTGCAGTGAACAAGAGACTTGAGAAAAAAATTCAGAAATTAGACTCCCCTCTTCCCTCCCCCCGAAAAAAAGAAAACTTACTTAAGAGAAAGACTAGAAAATAAACTGGCTTCATCTGTATGTAGCTTCCTGGCCAAGCCATGTGATTGATGCTCCAGCTTATCCTGCTATGAACAACATCCCTGTTAGGTTATCTTGTCCTGCAATTAAGCTTTTGCCATATCATGGTACATTATCATGAAGTGTATACAAAACACAATTTGAAATGATTTCACAGGTAAATCAGTGGCTTGATTTGATAAATTTGATTGCTTGTTTACATAGGATGGCTGCTGACATCATATAGATGTTTCAGCCACCCTAAAAACTTTCAGCAATTGATGTCTTAGTTAATGTTTTGGGAAATTGTAACTTTGCGAAAATTTTTTCAAGATTATCATCAACTGTACCTCAAGACCCAACAATAAAAAGCTGTAAAAACTTTTCAAAATTTAGTTCTGACATTGTAAAATTAACTAAACTAGCCTTTCTTAGTTTTGGTCAGGAGATTGAAGACACAACTAGTGTTCAATATTTTGTCGATGCTATTAGAGATAGGCATATATCGGGGTTTAATGATAGTTTCCCACCACTGTAATTATCATCTATGCAAACAGTTCACATGTGTGTGTTTAATCATGTTTTGTCAAGTGATTTTTGGCATTAGAAAGAAAGGATGCCAAAAAGAATACTGCCTTGTGAAATTTGTAAAAAAATATTGTTATCATTAACTACAATGTGTCCAAAATGGAACTGTCACATTACCGGATTAGGACCATCATTTACTTCTTGATCTGTTGCAAGCTGTGGAGGTTTGATACCCAAAATTCAAAAGCAAGGACTATAACATTCAAGAAGCATAGCACTCTGGCCGGCCTACACTAATGTTGATAAGGCCCACCTGTGAGAACTTGTGGAAGAAAATCAGTATATAATCACTTGAGAGCTTGCTAAAGAGTTAGACGTTAGTGCCATGTCCATTAGTCGTGCCTATGCATCACATAAACATGATGTACAAGTTCAATCGCTGGATGACGCTTGAGCTGACTCAAGCTGATAAGGACAGATGTGTTTGGTCCGACACTAATCTGCTCGAATGTCAACACAAGGACAAAATTCTGGACCGGATCATCACTTGTGATGAAAAGTCTATTTACTTCAACAACACAAGCCAAAAAAGGGGTTGTGTTGTGCCCAATAAGTCTGTCGGCAGCATCACAAAATGTAATTAGACTAACAAAAAGATCATGCTTTGTATCTGGTGAGATGACCGTGGTATTATCCATATAGAGTATCTGGAGAAAGGTAAACCCTCAACAGTAAGGTGTATGGCGAGTTGCTAGTCGGTGTTGATGCTGCTTTCAAGGAAAAATATCAAACTGATTTCCAGCGCGAAAAGGTAATGTTCCATCAAGATATTGCAAGTCCACTTGTGTCTGCATTCACCGGATGGACTCTGTACGGACTTTAATGGGATCTTTTTCCACACCCACTGTATAACCTCGGACACCACTCCTTTGGACTTCTGCCTTTTTTTACACCTGCAGATGCATCTTGATGGTGCTATCTTCTATTCTGCACAGGACGTCCGAAATGAGGTTGATCTGTTCTTGGACTCACGGCCGCTAAGTTTCTGGGCCCAATGGTTTTGTACTTAAACATCGGCAGAAAATCATAGATTTGGGTGGTGATTACTACTCACAAAAAAAGATAACTGCTGTCATGTTTTTTTCGTGGAAAACTTTTGTTACAGCTAGGTACAATGGGCACTGCATTTACCAGACAAAGATCTGAAGAGCATTCTTATGTATGCCATAAAAGTGAAGTGTTGGACAGAAAGCTGGCAGAAGAGAATGTTCTGTAAGAAGTGTCAAAAGGGAGAAAATTAGCTGCTGAGAGCAGTGATAGAGCTGGCAAAAAAATTTGAGGCCATAGGAGCAGCCAAAACTCAAAGCAGACATAATCATAAAGTTCTGGAGCTACAGCAGTGAAGAACATTTGCAAAGTCAATGCCTTACATATAAAAGACTAAATAAAAATCACAAAAAAGGCAGAAATAAGTGCAAGTAGATAACTGAACTATTAGCATTTTACAGATAAGTGGTGTGTGCATTATATACCTGGGTAAGCAATGCACACATCACTTGATGTATTTGGTGTACTTGCATATTTTCGGGTACTTTCAGTTTAACTTTGTCCCTAATGTAAATAAATATTTATAATTCAATGAACACATCAATTAAATATCCTTTTATTTATTCGGAATTAAGCGATAAATTATTCTTTGTTAAATTTTATTGAAGAAGTATATTATTTTCTTCTCATTTATAAGTAGCATAGTTTTCAGAGTAAGAAGTAGAAATGGTTAAAAAATAAAATTTTTAGGACCTAAATTGAAGATGAAAATAAACAACAATTTGAAATAATAAGATATCATTGATATTTTGCAATTTGTAACATTCTTTAATAGTTTGCAACCGTTATTAACAATTATTGTTGTTTATGAAAGTTTGATAAATGGACTTTTATTTCAACATTATCTTATGATTATAAAAAGAAACATTTTGTATTTTATCATTTTTTAATAAAAAAAAACCTTTCTTATTTTAGAATTCATAATTCATTTGAGTTTTATTTTATCTGATCTTCATGTGTACAAATATTTATAATAAATTTGCCCCCCTTTTTTGTTGATTCTCTATAAAGTTGTAAGCTATACTGTACTTTATGCATGTAAAACGAGGTATCTATCCTTATTATGAAATATATATACATTTATTATTTATTTCATTTTAGAAGAAACAAAACCTCCTGTTATAAAATTAGAAAACTGTGAAAATACTGATGATGAATCTGCGAATGAAGATGGAAAGCAACCATCATTTTGTGTTCTTTTACATGGAAGTTTAAAGGTAGAAGGAATGGTTGCTATATGTCATCTTGGGTAAGTTATTTGTTATTGCAATAAAAAATTAAATTATTTTGTTAAATTATCTCTTATGGCAAACGATGGTAAGCTTTTGAGGGTTTTAAAAGGTGTTTGTTAAATTTGTCTCTAATATGTCAGCCCCTTGTTTTATTCATGTTTGCATTTTATGTTTATTCATGTCTTGCATATCATATTGACTTATGATAGTCTTTCTCCACATTAAAGTCTTAACTAATTTTGTTTCATCAAATGCACTGTAGACAACCTAAAATTTAATTTTCTCATCATACTTAGGTTGTATCTCATTTTATTAAAGTTATATAACTGTAATCCATTTATGATTTATTACATATTTGTATAAAACATAGTGTACCTGCAAATGCAGAACATATTACATATGAAACAAAAGGGATAATATGATCATCATCTAAGCATATTATATTGCAAATACTTTTGAGTATTACCTGTGCAAGAAGCAACATAATTTTCCTTTCTTTCTTTAGAAATCAATATTAAAGACATTTGATATTTTTCCAAAATTTCTAAATTGTGTGTAAAATTTAATTACATTTCTTAATTTAACACCTTTTATTGTCTCTCTTTCTAAATAGAAATATTTAAAAAAATCTATTTGGCTTGCAATATTTTTTTGAATTGTTTGGCTTTTAATATTATTTTTCCTTCTTAATTTTTCACTTCCTTAATTGCTTTTTCTTCCAAACAAAAAATTTAATTATTAGACTTGATAATTAGCTGAAAGAAAAACCATTTTAGGACTATATTTATAGGTTGTTTACCTATTTGAATATTTTCTTGTATAAAGAAATGTCTTGATTTGAAGAAAAGCCTTTTGTAAATCAACACAATTTTTCGCTACAATCGTAGTTTTCAAATTAGTGGCTTGTTGCTTAATTTTTATACTGAACAAATAGTTATGGGTACAAAAATCAGTGGATCGAAAACAGGGCTGTGGAAGCTAAATTACATGAAATTTATATTTAGCTATATAAAATGTGCATTTTCTTTCACCATTATTTCTCCATTGACAAATTATAATTTTATGTGATATTCAAATTTAAAATATCTATCTTACATTGCATATCTTCAATTTATTTAAATAATTGTATTACGTAAAGTTGTCATGTGAATTTGTTTCGTTAGTTAATTAATGTGAATCACTTATTTTAAATATCTCTGTATTCCATAAACATATTTTGCTGTTCTCTTAACAGTAAAGATTAAATTTGATACAGTTTTACACAGTTTACTGCGAGTTGTAACACAGTTTACTGTGAGTTGCTCAACACACAACTTAAAAAGGTTTACTGATGTTGACTCTATCCACCAAGTCACTCCCACTATTCTGATTTGCCGTTCTGGGTAGACCACTCAACTTGGTCCAACCAAACTTAATTGTTGCTCATTGGCAAGAATTCACCATTTGTAAATATTTTATTACAGATAACACGTAAGCATAAAGTTTTTTGCAGTTTTTAATTTTGTCTTTTGTTTTTAATTATTTAATGAATTGAATTGAATTTTAAGCATTGCTTATATTCATTCTTCATTCTGTGTAATAATTTTAGTATTTGTCAACATTTTGTTTATTTTAACTTTAAAAATGAGTACTACCAAAATTCTTTGTTTTATGGGGAAAAAAAAACATTTCAATTCAATTTGATTGGGAATAAAGCCATTTTTGAAGTAGCTTTATGCCAGACAAAGATAGATCTCATTAATTACTAAATAAGTTTTTATTACTTATTTCTACTTTAGTTTAAAAAAAGTGAATCTTGTTTGATCATGAAGTCGAAAAAGCAGCTTCAGATTGAATCAAAACAGAAAGGAGCATGCCAAAGTAAAATATAAAATTAGTAAAGCAACAACCTTATATTTGGCATAAATCTACGACAAACACAATGTTGCTGCTTTGCTAATTTTAAGCTTCAGATTGATGTCTGTTGCCTTGATAAAGAACTTGGCTGAATCAATCCTGATTATTCTTTTATAATAATTTATTTCTTCTATACTTTAAAATTTAATCTTAATACTTTTACTTAATTTTTGTTCAGTTTAAAGAAGTAAATTTAAAAAAGAAAGTTTATTACAAATTAATTTCTTTTGAAGTTTATTTTATGTTTCTGTTTTAATTGGCCCACCAGCGGCCGAGCGGTAACATCGCTGAACACTGGTAGTTCGGTCCGAGGTTCGAATCCCGCGAACGGGCTGGCTGCATGGATGTTTTTCATGGTTTTCCCCATGTGTAACGTGTATACGAGCCAGTTTCCCTTAAAAAGTCCTCCACGAAGGCATCCCTCCCTTAAGGCAGATAGCCCTCGAGTGCTTTGCGTAATCTAATAAACCAAACCAATCTGTTTTAATTGTTTATACCTCTCAATTAAAAAAAAAATTATAAATATTTTATTGTAATTAATCTGTGCTGCAGCTTCACAAATTAAAAGAGTTTTCTAGAAAAATGTGCATAAAAATGTTTTCTTCCTCTATATATTTGTAGATGTATATATGTATGTAATATTTATTCTTAAGCATTTCATTGAGCCATGTATATTTGAATATTGGATTATTGGATATATATTAGAATATTGGATTGTATGAGCATACTTAAAACATTTTTATGGCATTTTTCATGTAATCTTTGAATCTAATTTGTTATTATAGCTTTATGTCATTTACTTATCACTGATGTAAAGATTTTAAATTAATATGACTTGTCCCTGCCACTTTATCAGCATAAAATAACTGAAAAATTATAATTTCTTAGCTAAGTCTATTACTGAAATTCTTTTCATTGTTTTATTTATTATGATTTTAGAGGAGATTGGTATGGCATGCTGTATTCATGGGCTGATAGCAAGAAAAAATCAAATCTTATGCTTTCTGCCTTTGAACCTGGTAATGTATATTTTGATGAAGCAATGTGTATTTTTCATTAATTTTAAATTAAATAAAATGCAGTTATTCTTTCTTAAAATATATGTGATGATGCTAATATTTGCCATGTACTAATATTCAGATTCTTAAGTGCTGATATGTTTCTTTTAAATGATATATTGTGATTCTTTTCATTTACAACTGAAGAATAAGATATTGTACAACCATTAAACTGCATGAATTAAGTTCTTTTAGCCATTTATAATATTTTACATATAAGAATGCGTGTTTAACCAAGAAATCCTATCTAAATACATTGCTGGCCATTAAAATTGCAACACCAGGAAGGCATAATCTGATGAACGTCAAAATCGCATGAAAGGAAGAAGTTGGGATATACAAATGATTAAGTATTTCAGCGCATTGAAATGACACAGGATAGAAACGACATCTGAAGCACTGCATGAAAGAAAAGTTGTGTAGTGGATTTCTCATTCGGAAATTGCTTTGTAAGTTTGGAGTTTGCTTAGAATGCCGTGTTATGCCTCGATTAAGAAGAGGAAATGCTTACCAGCAAATTTCGAAATTCAGTAAAGGTGGTATAGATATCGCTGGTCGCACTGGTCGACATCCAACCACTGTCGTCCAAATATGGAATCAGCGAGTTACTGAGGATCATACTGAATGGCATACGGGATCTCAGCACCTTCCCATGACTAACGTCAGTGGCAGACTAACTATCTGCTCGTAATGAGTGTTGATGTTTGCAGTAGCATGGACTATCAGCAGGGTGATCATTACTTCGGCTTCCCTTGACAATGGAAGCATAGAGAGAGACATAGACTTTGGTGTGCAAAACGACAAAGCTGGGTAGAGTGACACAATGTCACCTTTTCAAACAAGTTCTGATTCTACATGTAGTATTTTGATGGCCTTATATGTGTTTGGAGTGTCTGAGGAGATTGCACATTGCCTACTTGCATTCAATGGCATAGGGGCCCTGAACCTGGTGTGATGGTTTGGGTGCACGATGTGCACATCTCTAGTTCAGATTGACAGTAATTTTGAACGTAGATGGGTACATTTCTGACATCTTATGTCCAGTGGTTGTGCCCCTATCTTTGAGGCCCCCAAACGCCATGTTCCAACAAGGTAATGCAAGATAACATGTTGCACATCATGTTCTGACCTTCCTCGATACACAGGATATTTGATTGTTGCCCTGGCCTGCATGGTCTCCAGATCTGTCACCCACTGAAAACATCTGGTCATGGGTTGCCGAGAGTGTGGAATAAGTTGCCAGTTTCTGTCATCCAAGTCCAGTTTGACTCCATGCTTTTAATGTGGTAAGGGCCATTTTAACTGCCATTGGTGGCAGCTGTTTCTACTAATTTTGCACCCCTGTAAACCTCCGAAATGCTTACAAATTTAATCACTTTGTCTTCTTGCCATACTGTTTACATGCAATAAATATCTTTTTTGTAATTGCTTTCCTTCATGGTGTTGCAATTTTAATGGCCAGCAGGTTTTTTTTTATATTAATAAACAAAATAATCATTAAAATGCAAAAAAGAAAACTACTAAAATTAAAAATAAATGCATCATATTAAAATTACTGCATAATGCAGAATAAATGCTTTTTAATACATTAAAGATTAATGTACTCTTATTTCCATAGTCCTTTGATATGTTATAAAGTAAAATTTAATTTATGAATGTCTTTATTCATTTAGTATAATTAATTAAAAAATAATATGCAATAATTTTATTATTTTTTCATCTTCATAGTAATTTATTAAACTGCAAAGACTCCAACTACCATGGACTCTCCATAGTTTCTACAGAAATTCCTTAAAAGCTTTGAGCTACTGAATGTACTAAAAAAATTACATATTTTATTGAAAGGGGGGCAAATGGTATTTAAAGGGTTAGCAGAATGTAACCAATTTATTTCTCCGATGATTGCCAAAATGCTCATGACATCGTGTATCAAGGTTGATGATCTTGTTGATTTTGAAAGAAGACCAATTGTAGTTCAGCAAATTATGACCTAATCAAGCACCCTGCTAGCTCCGTTTGGTTATATTATGGCAAGAAAATGTAGCATGTGCTTCTTGTAAGTTGTGATTAAACTGGAAATGGCATGTATTTTATATGAAAGGCATAAAAGAATAGTGCTATAAAATCTAAAGAAATATCAAATTTCCTGATAAAAAATGATGAAACGGATGTTATAAAAGGTGAATTCTATTTAATTTGATTTTTAATTCAACACAACTTTCCAGTTTTAGTTTTGGACTATTTGTAGCAGGTTTAATGTTTCCAGATTCTGCTATAGCAAAAAAAAAAAAAAAAAAAAATCTTATTCAAATGCTATCTGTGAAAGAATGTTTTTTTTTATTATATACATATAAATCGGGCTGTATTTCAACCAAATTTAGATACGAAATCTCTTAGTCATTTTCATTGAGAAATAAATATGCAGGCGAATGAAGAATTGTGTTATAGAAAAGGATTATCTAATTCAGAAGTTAAGCTTGTGAAGCATGTTCTTATATATCTTTACATTCATAATTTATTAACAAATTTTACTTTTGTTGATGATTGTATGTATATTTCTTGTCTGTATCTGGAATTGATTTTTTTTTTTTTTTTTTTTTTTTTTTTTTTTTTTTTTTTTTTTTTTTTTTTTTTTTTTTTTTTTTTTAATTTTATATCCCTGTTGGCATTAGAGTCCTCAAACTTGAAGGAACTTGGTTTATGGATACTTATTTTCTGTACAATATTTATGTTTTAATTGTTTCACATGGGTTATAGAGATTAATTTTTAAGTTTTGAAGCCATTTAGTCAACTATTTTATCAGCAAAGAATGGAAAAACAAATACTCCACACTCATCCATGTTAAAAGTATGTTTTGCTTCATACCTAGAAAGCAATCCTGGTAAAACTTTAGTTTTCCATTTGTTTGTTTTATGAGTAATTATATTTTCACATTTATGAATTGATAGATAAGTTGGTATGGTTTTTGAGCCCTGTTTATCCACATGTTAAGTAAAGAAAAATTGATTCCTAATGTCTTCCAAGTTTTGTCAGCATTTTCATATAAAATACTTCCATTAATTAGAATTTTTGTTAATCTTGTTTGCATAAACCATAAGTTTTCTTCATTCAGCCTTTCACATTTTGATTTTTTTTTTTTTTTTATTTTTTTTTTTTTTTTTTATGATTTAAACCATGTTGCTGAAAATAGCTTCTTGTTTAGAAGTAATTAACAAAAACAGATGAAGAAAGACTTCTAATTTTGGAAAGAAAAATATTGTGGAAAATATATGGCCCAATTAGAAAAAAATAATAGATGAAGAATTTTGTTTAACCATGAAATATATAGAAAATACAAACAACCTAATATTGTCCGAGTCATCAAATCTTATCATATCAAGTGGTTTGGACATATTTTGAGATGTGACAGCTGGAACCCTGTTAAAAAAGTGACCTTTGCAAATATAGAGGGCATGAGGAGAAGAGAAAGATCTCACACAAGATGGATAGACTGTGTGGAGGTAGATTTCAGGACTCTAAAAACCAATCCTTGGCGACTGTAGCGACTAATCAGATCCATTGGAGCAAGCTTGTTGAGTGGTTGTGGCCTGTAATAGGCTGTAGTGTAACTGAAGAAGTTTAGCAGTAATCCCAGCTATTGTTATGGCTGCTAAATTTAACTTATTTGCAAATTCAGTCTGAGATAAAATGGGACTTTTCCTGTTTCTTTCACAATTTTGCATTTTTACTGAATTGTTAAAACTTTTTTTAATGTTTTTTTGGTGGCATTTTTAAAACTTATCCTTATGAGGAAAATCTCGCATCTCATGGCTGGAAACTAATGCTTATTAAAAACGGATCTGCTTTCTTGGTGACATGGTCTTGAATTTGTCAGAATTAAATGACAGCATTTTAAAAGGAACTGGAAAGGTGGACTTCTTTTTTCCTATTCTAAGTAGCCTTCTTGCTTCTGTTACGAGTTATTAGTCCAAAGGGGCTTTGTCCCTGAAGGACTGTTGTTTTCGATTTGCGATTTTGCGTTGAATCGCTATAAACGGTAAATCGCTTTTCAAACTGTTGCCACCAAATGTTAGAATCCTGCATTATATTTGAAGAAATTAAATAATAAAAATCTGCATAAATGTATGTATATCTCTTGCATTGTGATAAAACAACGGTACATAGACCCACCGAATTTTGAATGACATAATCCTCCTACGAATATAGGCATGTGGAAGACCAAATTTGGAATATATTTTATTATCGATTTCATATTTTGTAAAACTTTAACGAATTTTTTAGTAACAAACTCAATGATTTAAAAGCGAGCAATGGCAACAGTATGGGAATGGAACCTTTTTATCTCCAACGTGTGGAACTGTGTATTGGAAATTCTAAAAATATGCTCATTTTAAAATTATTTTGCGACATTTACATTGAACTGAATTTTATGGTTTAAGTGCAAAGAACATGATATTTAATAAATAAAGGTAACACATAAAACGTTAAAAAAAATGCCCCTTTGGACGTAATTTAAAATCTGAAACCTTTTAGATTTTTTTTATATATATAAAGAGAAAGCGAGAGAGAGAGATAATTGTACAGACACACATATATATAAGCAGCCTTTTCATGCCTCTTAACTAGCTTATTCCTCAAAGGACCTTATAATTATAATGATGACAAGAAATGGTATGCAGTCCGTCAAAAGGTATCGACAACCTTTTGACGAAAGTGCACTAAAATCACTAGAAGTGAAAGAAAGTAGTGCACTGAAGAAAAGTGCACTAAAGAAGTAGTAGTAGAAAAAAAGTGCACTAAAATCAAGACTGATGACTTCTCTTTCTAGTACAATTTGTGGAATAAATGCATTAGAAAAGAACATCTTTCAGAAATAAAGGAGATTATTATTATTATTTTGGGGAGTGAGGCAGAATTTCCTGAAAGATTAGATGAAATTCATAGCAGAATAATTTCAAAAACAGGTTTTACAGTACCTTAATATGTATATGTTCAGTCTCTCTTTACAAACCATTACTTAATAGATCCAAATGTTGATGCAGTTGTAGGATGCGAAGGAAGATGAAAACTTATACCTTTAGGTGATTCTGTTGGATGCAAATGATTCTTTAAAACTAAGCTAAAGTAATTATTCCATTATTCTTTCCTTGTTCTTTTAAAAGACTTTGGTATATGTTAAAAGTATATAATATGAAAGCTTTTTACCCCAATTCTGTTTTAGGTAATGAGGTTATTCCTTGGCTTGGAAGTTTTGGAAACTTAGGCCCTGTAGAAACATTCACTAGACTTCCTAGCTCAGAAGTTCCTACTTTACCCATTAAACCATCAGAAAAGAGAAGTTATGCTCAGAATTGTGTTGTTTGGATCAAACAGTCTGGTCTTCAAGTAATTCACTCTTTTTTTTTTTTTTTTTTTTCCCTCTCTAAAAATAACAGCCTATTTATATTTATAAAAAAATTTTGATCTATATAAAGGAACTTAGAATAATATTATCATCCTTTAACTTTCTTAAGCCAGCGGTACAGCAGTTGTACCAGGAAAATGACTTTCTTTAATGCCGGCTGTGGTACAACTGTCATACTCGCCATCCCCTCCCTACTTTAGAGAATCGCCTATCTGTAGATCTCTGGGTGGTCTATTGTCGCTCACTATGCATTGTTTTCCTTTTCTTATCGGTTTGACTACATTTTGGCAAAAACCGCAGGTTTCGTCTCACGCCAATATACTTGAAAATCAAATAGAGGCCATCTCTTTTCAAACGTTAGAGCACTGTCTCATAATTTTAGTCCTAACTTTTGCTATGATTAAAACGTCAGTGATTTTGCACACTGTTTAAGCTTATCAGATTTAATGCTTTTTAATCATAACAAATAAAATTTAAATTAATATTTTAGATTTAATGCCCTTCTAGAAAATAGGTAAAACCACTTTTATCATTTACTTCCTTTTTTAAGCTTCTGAATAATAAGATGTTATTTTGACCCCCGTTTTTTTGGAGTGCATAAAACCCTTAAGAACTGTTAACTTTTTAAAAGTTCTTCTATTATGTAGGCAATTTTGTCTGATTTGTCATGAGATAAATAAAAGACAATTGCATGCATAATAGTTTTTGTGATTTTTCATTCATTCAATGATTGATTTGAATGATTTCATTTAATGATTGCTTTGAATGATTTTCATTCATTGTAAATTAAATAAAACCAATTTATCTTTAGACCCTCTTTTAGGATGGCATCTGCCAAAAAGTATTTAAATATCATTAAAGCTCATGTAACTTCTACTAAATTGAATCAAAACATCAGTTTCTTTGCATAAAATTTCGGTCAGTTTTATTTGCTGAAATTCTTATACTCCTCAAGAGATAAAGGGAATTCAGACAAGTTAATAAAAAATTTATCTTTAGAAAAGGAATATTATTTTGTCTGTAGTAAGGTGTATGTCAACTTACTATTAAATGTATGAGAATTAGGATTAGATTACTGAAAAGCACGCAAACGCTATCTGCTTAAGGGGATGGATGCTTTCAAGTAAACCTTTTTAAGAGAAAATTGCTCGCATTTACATTCCTGATGGAAAACTCCACATGTAATCAACCCGTTCTTCGGGTTTGATTACATTAATTTTGTTCGCTTGCGGAATTGCATCAAACACACAACAATTACCTGTATAAATGGATGAATGCCTTCGCGGAGGACATTCTAAGGGAAGCTGGCTTGTATTTACATTACACAAAAACCATGAATACAACCCTTTAGCCGGAATTCAAACCCAAGCGAGCTACAGGTGTTCACCCACCTTTACCGCTCTACTGAAGAGCCCATAAAAAAATTGATAAAGAAAAAGTATTGAAATAACCGGTTTAATTTACTAGCCTATATTTCTCAATCGACAGTGCATAAATTAGTCATATGAGGGGATTATTTGTGAATAAATAAGCTGTATTGCACTATTCTCCACTATTTCATATTACGATGGAATTATTGCATTTAAAAGTTATTTCACATGAATTAAGTTTGCTCCACTCATGATTTTTTTTTTTATTTTTCAAAGAGAAAATTTCACACTCCAAATAAAAAATACTCAAGAAGATACTTTATGCAAAATTTGGCATAAACAGTTTTCTTAATTTTGCTTTGAAAATATTACAGGGTAATTGTTTTCATTACTGGAAGAAATATGAAAAATAGATTTACTACATTGTAAATCTATTTTTCATATTTCTTCCCAGTATGCCCTTACTCTTTTGAAAACACCAGTATGCCCTTACTCTACATAGTGTCAGCACCCAGTATGCCCTTACTCTTTTGAAAACGTAAAAGATTATGCTTTCTAAAATAAATTAGAAAATATATTATGTGCAAATAGAATATTCGTTGAAAATGAAATAGACTTCAACCTTTGGATATAATGGTGGTTTTAGATGAAATTTCTGCCTATGAAAGGAAATTGACGTATAATTCTTCATAAACATTTAAAACTGTACTGAAAAATACTTTTGATGATTGCATGTATAGGTCACACATTTTTTTTTTTTTTTTCCTCTGCCAACATAACCAAAAGCCAATTTTGCAAAGAAAAATTCTCGTTTAAAGATATACCTCCTTTGCCTGATAGTCCGATGTAATATTTGTTAAAGTTAAATGATGAAACGCAACCAATGTATCTCTGATTTTCTTCTATATATTATAGTAACAAAATTATTGAAAAAAGCAGATAAAGCTCTGTTATTGTTATGTAAAGCTTTATTATTGCTGTAATTTCATCTCAGAATCTAATTGTATTGAATATCATTATAATCACCTAATAGTAATAAATATTATTAATGAATTTATTATTATTTCATTAAATTAGTCGTTACCATTATTTTGTTAATGAAAATATGTTATTAAAAATCGCATTCCAACCTGCAGACTTTTACAAATCTAGTTCGTATTTATTATATTTTGTAAAATTTTGTTTTTGTTTTCTAATTTCTAATACAAAAATATGCAAATGTAAATAAAGTGTGAAAACAAAATTGTAAAATTCACAAATTATTGCCAAGATTGATCAGAAATAGTAAATGAAATATAAACATTGCATACATTTAGTTCTAAATAAATTTTGTACTATTTATTTAGAACTTCATTTAAATTAAAGCAAAATAATCATCAAAAAAATTGCAAATCTAGCAACCCATCTACTATGGAACAGTGTCCGACAAACATGTAAATTTTACTGCATCCATGGAGGGGACTAACAACTTTTCTCATTAAGAAAATGCCAAAGAGGAGGCAAAAGTGTTTTGGATTGCGCTGGTCTGAAGGCTATATTATGAGAATTTCGGCCCAATTTTAGAAGGTTAAGAAGAATTACTTTGTTGAACAGTTTCATTTGGGGGGGGGGACATTTCAAAACACAATATTATATTTTATATGTGATAGCATTATACAAAAGAATATCTTAACTAATAGCTATTGGATCTCACTCATTTCAGCTAAGAGAATTCTAGAACTTAACTGTTTATGTTTTGTGTAGATGTTTATTGTAGTTTGTGAAGTACGTTAGTTATCTTATTTTTCACCTATCAATTACTATTAATTAAATAACATTGAAAATTGTGTATATTATTTAAAGTTAAAATGTATATATATGACATTTATTTTTCAGAAAAATAAAAAATAAACATATTAAAATTATGTGAAAGTTACAAATTTCTAAGTGTAATGACATATAACTTAAAACATCTGCCTGTGTTTGAGATTGTCACTAGAATTTTAAAAATTCACTGATTATATAACATGAATCTTCATAACATCATGTGTTTACATAGATGCTTGGCAAATTTTATGGAAGTTTGCAATCATTTATCAACTTTCTTGCACATGTCTTTCTCCTCCTCACTGTCTTTCTCCTTTCCCCAGTGCATGTTTGATTATTTTCTCATTATCTTGAGAGAGTGTATGGAAACAATTATCTACCATTCTTTTTGCTAAAACTAATCTTCTGTGAACATGTAAGTAAATCCTTTATGTTAGACATCAGCCATGTTTTAAAGCCAAAAAAATCTTCGTCTCTCTATATATCATCTATGAACATGACCATATGCCATAATTTACACCAACAGTGGTATAATATAATGTTCTTCACATCTTTCCAAGCAAATGCAGTGTCTTCAAATGTATACTGTTTTTGAAATTCTGGAACACTACCTTCAAAGTTCATCCATCGTTGCATGAAAAGGAATCGGTTGTTCCGTCTTTATATTCTGGATAATTCGTTTGTTGTATAACAGTTGTGTTAGGCGGCAGAAACTTAAAATAAATGCTTTCCACATTTAAATCTTTAAGTTGTATTAGCTCATTACAGATTTTTTTTTTTTTTTTTTATCTGATAGGTCAAAATCTAGAATTTAAATTTAGACCTTTAAAAGTGCCATTATTTTAGTATTGTTATTTACAAGGGATTTTATTGTGTGTAAAAAGTTTGTTCAGTTTTTTGCAGGTAGCCATTGTGTACATTTCCATAGTCAAATAAACTAACTATTACATAGAATTTAGATTGCTATTGTACATAACTGCTATTGTATGTAATTTAGATTTTAAATGTTCGTAACGACTCAAATACTACAAGGATTTTGTAGAATAGGTCTTATCTGTGTTTTTAATTCTGTGATAATTTAACAAAGTAATTTTGATATTGTTTGTTTTTAGTGTTAGTAGTTTCTCTTAGGTTATAATTACATTTTAATTTGTATGTGTATAAAGGTATGTGCACTATTTCTTATTAAATAGAATTAAAACAAATGCACTCTTTTAATTGTAATTAATTTAGGCTGATATTCAAAAAATTCTGAGACATGCTAGGAAACTACCAGAGAAAACTCAAAACTTTTATAAGGTATGTCTTCGTTTCTTTGTTACTTATTCATGATTTCTTCCTTTTTGTATACAGAGTACTTTTTTATATATTTTCCCATTTATTTAGATTTTTATTCATAAATTTGTATTCCATTTAGTAACCACATAATTAATATATTTTTACTTTTACTTTTGCTTTTTAATATATTTTTACTTTTGCTTCAAATAAATCAAAGAATATAAAAATGTTGCGTTTTAGTGAACGTTTCCCACCACTGCAAATATCTTCTGCCCAAACAGTTCGCACTGGTGTCTTTGATCACATTTCTCAGTTGAAAGAAAGAGACTTGCTTTAAAACACTGTGTTGTGAAATTTGTAAAAAAAAATTCATTTACTTTAAGTACAGGGTGTCTGAAATACAATGATTATGCTATCATGCCTGCACTAATCTGCTCGAATATCAATGCAACAATAAAATTCTGTACCGGATTGTCACTTGTGATGGAAAGCGGATTTATTTCAACAACACAGTTAGAAAAGAGGGTTGGTCTACTCCTGGTGAGCCCACTTGCAGTGTCACAAAGCACAGTTTGACTACCAAAAAGATCATGTTATTTGGTAGGTCTGCCATGGTATTATCCACAAAAAGTATCTGGAAAAAAGTAAAATCCTCGACAGTAAGGTGGACAGTGAGATGCTAGACTGTGTTCACGCTGCTATCAAGGAAAAATGTTGAACTGAGTTCCGCCGCAAAAATGTAGTGTTCCATCGAGATAATACAAGACCACATGTGTCTACATTCACCAACTACACTCTATATTGATTTGAATGAGATCTTTTGTCACACTCACCATATAGCCCCGACATTTCACCTTCGGACTTATACATTTTTTCACACTTGCAGTTATATCTTAATAATGTTATCTTCCATTCTGGACAGGACGTCTCAAATGAGGTTGATCTGTTTTTAGACTCGCGGCCACGAAGTTTCTGTGTTGAAGGCTTTGAAAATGTACCAAAAACCATGACAGAAATTGGGTGCTGATTACTACCTACACTGCTTTTATGTTTTTTAGTGCAAAGGGGCAATTTGCCCTGAAGGGCTATTAATTTTGTTTTGGCATTTTGCTATAATTCACTAAAACAGAGTTTGTACGGTCCTTAAGAGTCCTTAGATTTTTGGTCCTTAAAATTCCTTAATTTTAGCCAAAGTCAGTAGAAGGTCCGTGATTTTAATCATATGAAATTTCTGTCTGTTTTTACGACTGTTGAGTGAGAATTAGCATTTTGGAGAAATATTTTTGGTGATTCCCTGCCATATATATGGTTATCTTTTGAATGGGTTTATGAGTTATAATTTGTTTCTATTTCTAATATAAATAATGGGATACTCTAATTTTTCTAAGTAAGTTTCTAAGCAAGAGAGTTTCTAAGCAAGAACTGGATCATAAGCATTTCAAAATTAATTTTTTCTAATAAAGAGTCACTTTTGGGGATGTGAATTTTTTTTTTTTTGGCAACTTTTCAACATTTTAGCGATTTTAAGATTAGTTTCTATGGAATCTTTTTAATTCCGAGATCTGGGAGTTTTTCGATGATTTTTTTTTTAAACATCGTAACATTGACAAATTTCATTAAAATAATGTTAGTATATTAAAATTATTTTTAAAAAATTATATTAAAATAAAACATTTTTATTTTTTGCTGTGATATTATAAAGTTTCATTTTGGCAACTTATTATACAATATTTTGAATTTGAAAAATAAACAAGGTATAATGCTATAAAGCACAATTTACAAAACAGCTCTTAGCAAAAGCAAAATTAGCTATGTCATTAATTAAAAATGGCTTGCTTTTAATTTTTTCATAGTAAGAGTTTTTCCCATGTACTTGTCTCAGAATATTCAAAATTCTCAGAATGTACATCAGTTTTCTCTATAAATTTAATTTTATACTTTTCCCTCCCCTCCCCCTTTTTTCCTCCAAAATATTTCTGGCTTTTTGCTGTTACAGAAATGGTAAGGATAATTTTTCTTTAGGATTTTAGACATTGCAGCTTGGAAAGTTTAGAAAGATTTGAAGGCAAGATTTATAGACCCACAATTCTAGAAGATTCGAGAATTATGTGATGAAATGAAAAATGTCTCCATAGTGTCAACACGTAATGGATGTATTTTACAGAAAGTTTGCAATGAATTTCTTACTTTTTGGAGAACGTCTGGAAGAACAATGAAAACATAATATTTGAATGTTTTACTTCTAATACTAGAATCTTAACATGTTTATCTTCTCTTTATTTTCACTAAAAACAAGCATGGAAAATATCGAAAGTGCTTCTGATCTTATCACATGAGCAGGCATTAAAGAAGGGTTTTTTTTTTATTAATAAAGAATTTGAAAACTTAGAATTTAAAAGATTCATCTAATATTTCTTAATGCATCATACACATAGGCATTTTCCCACCTGATGCAATCTCTGTGGATCCTAAATTCTGCTGCCGAGTGCCTTTCTAAATTCTGCATTCAATGCCTGGTCTTAATTCTAAAAGTTTTGCCATTTCTAGATTTTGTTGTTCGGTGTGTCACTAAATTCTAGAAATTCAACCACATCAGCTCTGTAACCAGCCTCTACTATATATATTTCATATTGCTTCTGAGTGTTCATACTACTAAAGAAGTAAAATTAGCCGCTTTTTCTGTACGTTCTAAATGCATTTAGTGTTTTTTAGAATAACAAATTCTTAATTAAATCCAAAAATTCTAAAATGAAAAGGAAACGTGTTGAAGAAAGAAACTGAATATATAAAATTGTTCTTGAAAGATATGTGCAGTTATTATTATGTGAGGTACTCAATTGTTTATGATTTCAGCCTTTACTGTAGTTTCCCATTTTTATTTCATCATATGATAGAGTTATTGAGCCAGATTAAATCAAAATTAAATTGTATAATCTTTCACTACTAGTCCACATTATTAGTTTGAATTTGACTGTTCTTGTTTAATTACATCACTGTGAGCTGCAATTGATTTTGTTAGCATCAGAACATGCCTTTATGCTCTAAGTTCTTTTTAAATAAGAGGCTTATTTAAACCTTGGTTTGATATTGTAGTTAATTTCAGACATAGCGATAATATGCTTCATGTCACTGTGGAGTTTTGACAAGTTAGGAGATAAAGCAAGCAGAAACTAGTGAGAGCATTGGTTTGCATGTTGAGGCAAATCTCTAATTGTTAGAAAAGATGCTTAAAGAGAACGAAATTGATATAAACTAGCCAAAATGTCTGGGAAGGCTTTATATTAAAATGACAGATAAATATTTTGTTAAGTGTTGCTGTTATAAAACATAAATGTTTTGTAGCTTTTAATGTGTAATTATCGTAATATCGTTTAAGAATCTGTGTCATAAATTACATGTATTTTAAACTGTGAAATTTTATTACATTTTTGTTTTAATAGGGCTTTTTTAACAAATATTGTTAAAAAATAAAATTTAATAGTGGTCATGTAAGTCCATAATGACTAAGGTTATCAAACTACATAATTTAATTAATCATAACTAACTGCTTAACCCTTAAAAATTATCTCTACACGTTAAAGTGAGTTATTGCCTTTCATTAATACTCACTGTAGTCACAATATAAAATATAAAAATGTAAAAATTAAAGTAAAACTTATTCGATGCATCTACTGATACTTAAAATATGGTGATTTAATGGCTTATTGGAACCTTAAAGTATATTAATTGGGTTACAACCCCAGAAACTGCACACAAAACTACGACACTAACTGCATCAAACAGAGCCTGACTAACTTCGAACACTTGCCAACAGTGCCTACATCAGACCTTTCAAGTTTGTTTTGATCAGCAGGTCTCTCTCTAGACAAGCAACAGTGGTGAACAATATTCAGTCTTATTTTATGAATCATGCTGATTATGTATGATCTTACTTCTCATTTTAACTGTATACTGTTTGACATGAAATCTACCTGCTATTTACTAAACCTCTAGACTGACCAAGTATGTGACAAAATGAGACATAAAAAATCAACATAAAGCTAACTGTTAGTAAAACATAAATTTCACTTATCTTCTTTCAAATATGACCAGCTATTATAAGTTTAAAATATTTAATGCTACTTGATAAATTGCATAAAGTGTATTTTATTCTCAAACTTATTAACAATTATGTTAATTCATGTTTAGTAATAATGTGTACTACTTAGGGATGTATTTTATTTTTAGGCTAATGACAAAAAGTGAAATTCAGACATAGATAATATTTTTAATTGAATTTATTCAGTTCCTATTTGCTCATAGGTCTTAATATTTTTTATCAATGGTCCTTAAAAGTACTTAATTTCCGTGTGCAGAAATGTGTACGAACCCTGTATAAATATTGGTTTACTTTTCAAATTGGTGCCACCAAATATTATTGCGCTGTGTTATATTTAAAGAAATTAAATAATGAAGAATCTCCATAAATGTATGTACGTTTCTCGCATTGAGATAAAACAACGGTACCTAGAGCTATCAAATTTTGAATAATGCAATCTTCTACCGAATATGATCATCTGGAAGCCAAAATTTAAAATTTGTTTTATTATCAATTTCAGATTTTGTAACACTTTAACGAATTTTTGATTAACAAACTCAACAATTTCAAAGCAAGCAATGGCAACTATATGAACTTTTTTTTTTTTTTTTTTTTTTTTTTGTCTCCAGCACGCGAGATAGTATATCGGAAATTCTAAAGCTTTGCTCAATTTAAAATTATTTTGTGATATTGCTCTTGAATTGAATTTTATGATTTAAGTGCAAATAACAGGATATTTAATAAACAAAGGTAACACACAAAGCATTAAAGAAACATCCCTTTGGGCATAATGTAAAATCTGAAACTTTTCAGATTCCCCCCCCCTCTTCCTAACTTTATTAAGAAAGCTGTTTGGTGAAAAACTTTCATTACAACCAGATATTTCATAGTGTGGTGTTACTACAAACTTTTTTTTTTTTTTTTTTTTTTTTTTTTTTTTTTTTTTTTTTTTTTTTTTTTTTTTTTTTTTTTTCTTTTTTTTTTTTTTTTTTCATATATATTTCATAGCTTTTTTGTGTAATTATCCTGATATTGTTTTAGAATCTATATCATATTTTAAATTCTTAATTATCTGTGTTTTAAACTGTAAAATGTTCTTAAATTATGATTTGAATAGTGCTTTTTTTTTAACAGGAATAAAAGAAAAATTAACAATGACTTGTAACCTCTAGACCTTAATGATTCAGATTATCTAACTATGTATCTAAGTATTTGTATCTAATTGCTCACTCTGGGAAGTTATCACTATGGTTTAAGGCGAGTTATCATCTTTCCTTGATCCTTACTTTAAACATAAGCTACCACACAAAAATGTAAAAATTAATATAAAACATTATTCCGTATGGCTAATGAACATCTGGTGCTTATAGGAACTTTATATTAAATACTATATATTTACTGGATTATAACTCCAGCAACTCTATGTGAAGTTACTGCACTAACTGGGTCAGACAGACAAAGCACATTTAACTTTCTGCACATACTAATCTTACCAAAGTCAGATGTTCGTGTCTGTTCTGATCAGCATATTTCTCTCTCTTAACAAGCAGTAGCAGTGACAACTGCCAAACTTTTGTTAGGAATTATGCTGTTTATGATTTTACTTCTCATTTTAATCTATTGCCATTTGACATAAAAATATGTGGGACTGTTATAAGTTAATTTAATGCTAATTACCTGATAAATTTTACAAAGTTGATTTTTTTTCTCAAATTTTATATTTATATTAATTTTTTTATAGTTATGTTAAGTGTTGAATTTTATTTAATAATAATGTATCCTACTTATTTATTTTATTCTCAGAATGAAGTGTAGCTCTGGTATAGGTAATTGATTTAGTTAATTCAATTTCTTTTGTTGCTAGGTCCTTAATTTTTATCATTAATGGTCCTTAAAAGTACTTAATTTCAATGTGCAGAAATGTGTACGAACCCTGCTAATTAAATTCTAACATCCACCTCTTACATTTAATTTCTGGATAGAGTATTGTTGGGGACCATCATAAGAATACAGCATGCATACATGTGAAAAAAATTTAGTGTAATAATATGTTTTTAGTTACTATCATATAATTAATTCTCAGTGATAGGAGTTATGTTAGCCAATGAAAATTGTTATCATTTAAAAACATTTTATCTTAACAGAGCCAAACTCCTTTATCTATAAGATTCTCAAAATCAAGATATCCTAATATATGTTTCTGTAATTTGTCAATATATGTATGTAAGAATATGCTATGCTATTAATTTTACTATAATTTTTATCACTCTAATCTTTTCTTACGCCACTGATAATTTGTATTCCCTGCATATATTTAATGCATGAAATTTTAACTTCCTACTGAAATATTCATCATTTGGAAATAATATGGCTTATTTCTTTTAAATATTTAAACAAATAGAAATTTATTGTCTCCTTCCCCCCCCCACTCTAGATCATATAGATTGGCACTATATGTTTTTTTTTTTTTTTTTTTTTTTTTTTTTTTTTTTCCATCTGCATTTTTTATCAGTAAAATGTGTAAAAATGTTTACATATTATTGAGTAATTAATATTTGTTCAAAATTAGTCTTGCACTGAAATTCAGAATACTTAAAAAATTCCATTTTTATTCAGGAGCTAAACAGACTTCGAAGAGCTGCTTTGTCTTTTGGATTCTATGAACTTCTTGATGGTATGGCTACTATATTAGATCGCGAATGTACTTTGTTACCAGGATCTGCACATCCAGATGCTGCACTTCAATTGACTCATTGTGCAAATGCTTTAAGAAATGGTAGTGATGATTATAATACCCCTCTTGTACCTTTAAGGACTAAGTTATCTTCAGATGACTGAAAGATTTAAATTATATTCAGATGATCTTAAAGGACTGGTATATCATCTAAATGGTGAAGAATGATTTTAACCTAACTGAAAAAACTAAAATGTGATCAGAGGAAAAAAAGAACCGAATTCCTTTTTAATGATGCACAACACAATGATCATACTGTGTGTACATATTACATTGTGTTTGTTGCATTATGAATTTACCTAACTGGAATGAAAATAAATGTATACTTTGTAGAAATTGTGAAGTCAACAAGTTTCTCCATTTTGTAAATATATGTATCAGATTTTTATCATGCAATAATAATAATCATGACTTGTGACTAGCTCAGAGAGCAATTTTCTGTTTAGGCTAGCCTGTATCCTTTTGATATATTTCTGTAACATTCATTACGAAAAGCATTATTTACAAAAGAACTGCTATTTAGTTGATGCAAAGTAAATTTATTTATTGTGTAATAGTTTTTAAAAATTTTCATTAAAGTATTATTATTCTGTAATTGTACCATAAAATTATAGAACATTAATGTATTTCAGTTGAAATATTTCATGATAACTAACATACAGATAAAGAAAAATTAACATAATGGTAGTATGGCAGTGTCTCATTTATAAACTGGAAGTAGTGATTCATTGAATAAAAATGATTTCTATGAAGAATTTTTCAGTTTTCAGAGAAAATTTGCAAATGGTTTGTAACTGTGCATTTATGCAAAATATTTTTATTTTATGTATTTCAGGTAAAGATCATTACAAAGTGTGTATTGGTAAATTAATTGTGGAATTTTAAATCAAAGGCAATAGTGCCTTAGTTTAATTTTATATTCTATAATACAGTACAAAGTCCTAGATCTGGACTCTTTGAGACTTTGGCAATTTCGGATTTGGCATTTTTTCAGATATTAGGTCATCTGTTTAAATCTAGCAAGATGGCATGTAAAAATTACAAAATTAAAAATATTAAATCATGATTTATGAAATAATGAAGCATTTATAATCTAAAGGTTATCAAAATTTTTTTTAAAAAGGCACTTAATATTTATGTGTTTACTTTATTAAACACTTCTTTCAATGCAAGTTGTTTAAAATGCTGCATTTTTGTGGTAACTCTTTCTTTTTAATTCTGTAGACACTGAGTTCCACTGTTCAAGTCCTGTAATTTCTAGACCGAGAATTTCTGATACTTGTCGATTGAAATTTTTTCGTTTTCAATAACCTCTCTGTCACTTTCTTCACTATCGGTAGAGGTATTTTCTGGATCTAGAACTATACTACAGATTTCGCTGTTCATTAATTGATTGATGATTAGGGCATTGTTATCGCAATGAAAAACTTTTGTTATATTATCTTCATTTATCACGGCTTCTTCTCATTTGTTTACAAAATTCATTAATTGGAAAATTTCATCTTTCGTGTGCCTTCAAATTCATGGCTATCATCTTCATCATCCTCACCATGAAATATGATAGCTGGCCATAAATTATGCCAAGCCTTTTTTAAAGTATCTGAAGACACATCTTCCCATGATCTTGTGATGCTCCGCACAGCAGATTTTAATTCAAATTCTTGAATAGTCTTGCCATTATTCAAGAAATTTAACATGGAATTTAAAAATGCTACTTTATTTTTTCAGTGCATGCAATTTTCTGATATCTATAGGCGGAATGATGGACATGCAATATGGAGAAAAGAATAATATGGATACATTATCTTTCACTGAAACTTTAAGTGAAGTATGTGCCGAACAGTTGTCTACAGTCAGGACATTTTTTGTGTCATCAAGTAAAACAACCGAGTTCAAATGTTGCCAAATCCTCTGGTATGAAATGATTTTCAAATCAATCACTCGTTAATGCTTGTGTCCATCCTCTTTTTATTTGCACGATATATAACATGGAAAATTGATATTCTTTTAAATCAAATTCTTTTAAATTATTATATTCTTTTAAATGCGCAAAGTCATGCATTTTTTCAATTACAAAAAGTTTACATTTGTGCATTTCTGCACCATGCTAAAATTGTTAGTCTTGCTTTGGAATCTTAGACTCCAGTTGGAGCCTTTTCTGTAGAGGTTGTGAAGGTATTTCGAGATACACTGTGAAAAAAAAAGTGACAGTTCTGTATTTCGCATTTTAATGGGCCAATTGACAAAATTCAAATTGTGTTTTTCATGTCTCGAAAGCATGACTTAGGATATATATTAGATTTATATATAGCATTATTCTAACATAGGTATTTTGACACAAAATGGAACTTTTTCTGAAGTAACATACCATTTTTTTTTTTTTTCCATATTTTGATTCTACGACTCAAATTATGCCTAAATATTAAATTTTGTAAAATTTGATGTGAAATTTATGGAAAAATTTAACTTGGCACATTTTTTTCAGTTTGCGCCAAGAATACTTCTTAATAATATATTGCAGGGTTTTCTTAAACTTTTTTCAGTCGTGACCCCTTTTTATCACTGAGATTTTTTTCGCGACCCCCAGGACCCTATAATATTTTTAAAAATTTTGTGGGACCCCATAAGTGTTGCGCAAATCCATGAGCGACACATGCATGAGTGAAACTGTCAATTTTTTCACTTGTACTGTAATTTACTATTGCAATTTTAGGTGATTAACTTGAATTTCTAGTTTTAAGACATAGAACAATGGGAAATTTTTAAATAAGTAACAGACAAAATGACAGCGTCATGTGCAGAGCAAGAAAAATGAATGTTTATATTATAAAAAGAATGTGTCGAAACGTTTTAGTTTTTTCCTTTATCTGTATTGTCTTATCTTTATCCATTTTCAGATACATTGTGTAAAAATATTTGTTAATTGTAAAATTATAATTATAAGCTAAAGAAATATCAAAACTACTAAAATTTTTCGCGAATTTCCTTTCCCTTCCATTGTGCAGGAGCAGAAAAATGTCACAGTGTTCCTAGCTTTTTACATTGTGCATGAGTGGGGAAAAAAGTCACATTGTATCTACTTTCAATTAATTTTAGCTAAGTGCCTAAATCACATTTGATGTTATTATCGCTTTCAACAAATATGCCAAATTTCAAAACGCGCCAATCTATAAATTCACATATTCGGAAATTTTGCTTAAATTTATGCTAAAATGATCGTTTCTTCAATAACAAGGTATTTTATTTATTACTGAAGTAAAATTTAAGAATCGAGTTTCTCCACATCTTTTGTTATGGGTAGAATCAAATACGTATGCATAAAGCATATACAAAAAAATCCTAAAAAAGGTTTGTTGGTGGCTTTGGGTTCCGTATTTTAGATCATTCCAGATCTTGGACTTTGTACTGCAGTTAGGATTGCTGTTATACATTTATGAAATGATGGTTGTGTTTGTATATAACAGAAATAATTTTGAAAATAAAACTTAAATTTAATGTATATATAGGGATATGCGTGTGTGTATGTGAATGAAAAGATGTAGTAATGTTGACGGCATGGAACATAGATTCATACTGAAGAGGAGACTTAGCAGCCAACTAAAATTAAATATTCAATTTTATTTCAATTGACATTTGCAACCACAATTTATTTGTCACTCTAATCATCGACATAACAATATCTTCTGTTTCCAAATATTTGAACACCGGAGATACTTAGTGTGGTTGAGCACTGTAGCCATTAATTCAAAATCTGGGCCAACAGAATCCCTAAAAAGTATCCCTTATATTAGATGACAACTCCTTGTCCACATACTTGTGATTTGATACAGAACCTCCATCAAAGAAAAGCAGCTTGATGTGATCATTTTTGCGAATTCCATCCCAAACCATAAAGCTTTTGTGGAAATGTGATCTTCCATGAACAAGGTAAGGAAGGGTGTTCCTTGCTCTGTTCTGATCAAAACAGTCTGGAATCACAGTTCAGGCTTTATCTGGACTCATTAGTAAACAATACATGGTCTAATTGAGTGATGAGCAAACTTCTTTGGGAGCGAGCCAAAAAAACAAAAGAAAAAATTAGTAGGTCCATATTGTAAAACTTTAAAAATAGTGTATAAATATTATAACACAGATATTAATGTGATGAATGACGCTGTAATTACATTTTTCAAGGTTCATTAAATTCAGATTTAAACTGCAATGTACTTATTCTGAGAAGTGATGCTAAATGCTCATCTATCAGTCTGTTTCTAGTAGAATTCTTCCTAAAGTTTATGGTAGAAAATACAAGGTAACCAAAAAAGTTCTTGCTGTTTCTGATATGACATTGGAAGAGTGAACCCCAATACAAAAATAGTCACCAAACTTTGCAATGAAGTGGTTAGAATGGGAGTCTGGACATTGACCATGAATATAAAAGCACATTGCATCAGTACTTCAGACATATAACTCACACAGTGACGGATTGAAATGGACGCATCAAAGGCGCTCGCTCGGAGCTGTTTGCTGTGTGATTTTAAAGTGGGCCTGTCAGCAGGAGAATCAAGTCGCCGAATTTGCCAGGTCTTTAGGGATGATGCCGTTAGCAAAGAAACCACTAGGCAATGGTTCCAGAAGTTCAGGTCCAGGGATATATCTCTTAGTGATGCACCGCAGTCCGCCACAAGTGCTGGATGATGAGGCCATAAGAGCAGCCATAGAGAGTGACAGTAGCCAAACATGTGGTGAGCTTGCCACACACTTCCAGGTATCTGATGAAACGATCAGACTCCATTTGCATTGGATAGGAAAGGCATACAACCTGACCAAGTCGGTACCCCACTCACTGTCCAATGGAAACAAGCAACGGCATGTTGCTGCCTGTTTGTCATTGCTTACTCAGCACCGCAATGCATCCATATTTGCTCTACTCACCAGCGATGAAAATTCGGCCCAGTAAGACACATCCAGACATTTGTTGTCAACCATGGGTACCTATGCCTCACACTGCGATATCTTCTCTCCACCCATGCAAGATCATGTTTTGTATCTGGTGGACTAGTCACCAAGTGGTGCACTATGAGCTTCTGCCAGTGGGCCAAACCAACACGGCAAGCCTGTACTCGCAGCAGTTAGAAAGTATGCATGAGGCACTGATGCAAAAAGAGCCAGCATTGGTCAATTGTAAAGATGTATTCCTACTCCATGACAATGCGAGGCCGCATGGGCTCGGAAGGCCAGGGACACATCCAGCAACTGGACTGAGAGACACTACCTCATCCACCATACTCTCCAAACCTCGTACCAACAGACTACCATCTTCATGGGAAATCCTTGAACAACTGGCCAGACCTCGAAAACGCCCTCACAGACTTCTTTGCGTCCAAGACTCCCAAGTTCTACTGCGATGGCATCGCACAGCTAGCCACTCATTGACAAAAGGCACTGATGTCGATGGTGATTACTTTGAGGATTAGTAGTGATTATTATTTGTTTTAGGACTTTTTCTTTCTGACTGCCAAAAACAGCAAGAACTTTTTTGGTTACCTTGTATTTGTTCACATATATTTGATGAAGCGAACATAGCTTTAATTTTCTGGACAGGAGATTTTTAATTTGGGAAACTTTCTTTCAATAATGATTTGTAAAACCCTAATTTTGGAACACTGAGAAACAACTACTTGAGATGCTTGTTAAGTGGTAACTCAGTCAATCCAAGCTGCAAATTCAGCTTTGCTGCTTCACAGTTTACATTGAAAGCCATGGTGAAAATATCCAATTCTATTTGAATGGCACTGAAATCTTGAAATTTGCATTCAGACTCAAAATGCTGTTTTCTCAGGCCTCTTCACAATTCTTTGCCTTGTCTTCATTTACTGAGAGTATTGAATTCAACCTTGGAAAAAGAGATAAGTCATTCTTAGCTAGTTGCCCAGCAAACAGATTAAATTTTAGTTTAAAACCTTTGAGGTGGGCCCAGATATTGCCAATAAATAGATTTTTTCCTTGACATTTAATTTGCTCATATGACAAAGATCTGTGAAAAATGCAAAGTCCAAAAACCATACTGTATCTTCCAACATTTCACACTCCATAGAACATTGTTTTTAATGGAAGAGTGACTTGGTGTTATCTTTCAGCTTTTAAACTTGCTTGAAATTAACATCCTGTGTTAAGCCAATATCATCTCAAAGAATAAGGCCTAGTCAGTGCGTCATGATCAGAAGACAGATGTGAAGCCGTGGAAAGATTCTCCCACAACCAGCGATGATGTGCATTTTTACTATACTCTCTGACCCTTAAATTTACTCCCCCTAAATTCGAGTTCTATCTTGCAATCCTAATTTGAAATTAAAATTTATCCAGGAAAAGTTGTTCAGAAATTATGAACAACTAAAAATATGAATACAGCATGTAAATTCCCCCCCCCAAATTCCCAGACACTTGCTTTTCAAGCAGTTTGTAAGTAATTAAAATAAAATATAAAAATAAATGCTAAATAGCAATAAATTAATTTTAATTAACAATTGTGCATATAATTTATTTGAACAGCATTTCATTTCCCTCATGATGTATATTTTTCATTCATATATTTCAAGAAAAATAGATAAAAGAATTTTATCGTGAAAACATAAAACAAACATTAGAAGTTTAAATTCAATAAATACAAAGAGGCTTGAGCAGTAAATCTATTATAAATCTGAATTTTTAACTGAACATGTTTTAAGGAATTATTCTAGGAATTAATAAAACTATCGCTTGAGCTGAAAAGCAAAATAAATTGAAACTCGCACTACAAAGGATTTGTATGCACAAAATGAAAATATAAAATTTTATGGCGAGCACAAGACATAAAATATATTCTAAATTGCATAAAGATTTTATATTTCTGTTGCACTTTTATAAATAAATCTTTACTTCTTTACAGATTAAATTTAGAATTTCAATGAATTCCAACTGGCTGATCTATGTAACATCAAATTCACGATATATGAAATTTTTGGGCAAAATTTTGCAGATTATGCATAATATTTATATATTCATACAAATGTTAGTTGTTATATCACTTAAAATTCTAAGTTTTAGTTCTTGAAGCCTATTAATCTCTCTTTTTGATTTAATTCTCTATTTGTTTCATTTAAGAAAAATTAATCTTTTAAAAGAGGAACTGATATATTGTTAACGACTAAAGATAGAAAATTAAACTATCAAAAGATTGAAAACTGTTACTGAATGTGACAGAAGATCTGATAAATGTATTATTACAATTTAGTCAAACAGTTGTTTTCATCTGAATATGAACCATTCTTTTTTAAAACAAAATTAGAGATGTTTAGTTTTTTCAATCAGTATTAATCAGTTAACTTTTTACAGAAATGTTTGATCATTTAAGACATATGATTATCAAGGCATTATGCTGCAGACAAGGCATTATCAAGGTTTTATGCTGCAGACATAATTAAAAAATATATTTGAGTATGTTCAGATATTTTGCTAAAAAATTATAGTTGGAAAAAAAATGATGTAACTAAAAAGAACCCTAAGAAACGGAAACTTTAAGCTTTTAAAAACATTAGCGTGTTGCAGAACTTATATAGTGTGTAACACAGTGGAAGGAGGCACATTATTATGTACCCTCAATATAATGGCACATAACATTATCTTTGGTAAGTTGATTTAAACAAACTTAATGCTTCGCTATTTTGTTCTTCGATAATTTTAATTTTGTTAATCTCTGGTACAGTTTATTTCTTGTGTATTTTTAAATTTGTTAATTTCTTGCGAGATTTTATTTCTCATAAAGGGTGTTTTTTTTTTTTTTTTTTTTTTTTTTAATTAAACTTACAGTGGTTTTGTTGTATAAATTTCCTGTAAGCTGTCTATAGGAAACAAACAATAATATCTTTACAGTTACTGTATCTCCACTATAAGTACATAAAATGCTGTAGATATTTTTATGTTATCAGGGTTGCCACGCTACCTGGAAAACCGGGAAAAGTCAGGGAATTCGAAAATTGACCAAAATATTCAGGGAAAAGTCAGGGAATTTAAGTATTTTTGTCAAAATCTGGAAAAGTCAGGGAAGTTCATACAACGATCCCGCCAAAAAAAGCGATTTTTGCGCCGACGTCGGAAGAGGTAACTTTTTTGGAGAATTATGTATCACGTGAGTGTCATTCGGGTAGCTGGCATAGAGCCAATTTTCGCAGTTCCAATATTGTCTTTTAGAAAGGCAAAGCAACTTTACCGCAACTTTTGGTTTCCAATATTTTCGAGAATCGCATCTGCAGTGCATGAACTAAAGAAAATACCTGTTCTCGTATAAAACAAAATGGGTTTAATCCTAGTATACGGTACCATGGAGGTTAGAATCAAAGAATATGTATTGTAAAGAAGGAAAACCTCTCTGCAACAGACGTGGCTGTGGCTCCGTTCCATCATAGAGGGAAAACAGCTGTGCATGTCTGATATATCTGTCGCCAAAGCTCGAAACCGGTGTCGAAGTTCGAAGGTCACGTTATCAAGAGTTCATAAAATGAATATCGTTTAAAATTTCTTTAACCACTTGCGCTAAAAAGACGTGCCACGCACGTCAAGACGCTTTTGTCTCAAACCGCGAGCGACGTGAACACCACGTCGATAAGCATTTATCGCAAAAATGAAAATAACGTGGTGCGCACGTCGCCTAACATCGAGATTGTTTATTTCTCGAGTTACAGCTCTGGTTGTTTATTTCTCGAGTTACAGCTCTGGATTGCACTCGCAGATGCGGAGCGGCGTAAATGAGACACTTTACGGCTTGCTATATTGTAGCGCACGGCACCGCAACCGTGAAGTTTAGTCTTAGCGCAAGTGGTTAAACTCTAAAGGAAAAGAAAATATTTTTTGGCACAAGTAAATTAATTCATGGATTAGTTATTTTCAGGGAAAAAAAAAAAAACTGCGAAAATCCGTTTTTAAAATTAATGCGAAAAATCCAAGAAGAAACGTCTTTTGATAAAGCGTTTCTTCTTTGATTTTTCGCAATAATTTTAAAAAAACGGATTTTCGTAGTTTTCTTTTTGTCAAAGAGCGTTTTCTTCTTAACACGTGTTTCTCAATTTCTGTACACATCGCGGAGAGGGAAATTCTGACCGCCAGGTTCCGTCGCCAAATCCCTTGGCAAATTTTCCCTCCGCATTCTAGCGGCGTAATAGCATTTTACTTGTATGGAACCTTTTCTTCTTTATATAGACGTTCTTTGGTTAGAATAATAATGGGATTTGGCGACAATCTTGATGCGCAGTAAACGGGTCATTTTGGTCTTGGCGACAATTTTCAAAATCGTGCCAAAGCCTTACCGTATACTAGAATTTTACCGCAAAATCTTTTTAACCTTTTTTTTTTTTTTTTTTTTCTTTTAATAAATCTTTGCCATTTTGCAGTAAAATAAAAAAAATAGTATCAGTCATCTAGGCTAGCCATGTAATATAACTATATTCGCTAAAAATATCGTTGATTATTCTAATTCAATTTTTAAGTAATTATTTTTATGTTATTCATATAATTTAATGGTGCTTCTTCCCTCTAAATTTATTTATTATTAGTAAATAATATTTCCAAATTTCAGGAAATTTTCTCTGGCATAATCCTGAAATTAATTATAGCAGTATGATGACATACCATCACGAAATTTAATGCACATATTTTTTTCCTTATGTATGCTGCGAAATAAATATAAATAGCTCAATTTATTAAAATAGATTTCTTTGTTTCGTTTAGCTGCAGAATGTTTGCAAAAAAAGCCTTATTTTATTCCAGATTGGGAAGATTCTAATCTCAATCTTCAATGGAGAAAACACAACTATTTTAATTATATTTGTGTTTTCAAGTGTTAAGGTGCTTTTTAAGAACATACCTGACACAAATTAAATTTACCTAAAATCTAACCTAACTATTTAGCATTGCGTTGTGATTTATAAGGACCGGATTAGCCTCGTGTTGAACTGGTGATGATCATGAGTAATAATTAAATAAAACACATTTGTTATCCAATGTATATATCTTAAATTTTATTAAGTTCTTAAGTGGAAAAGTAAACAAAATTATCAAACAAAGTATACCAAGAATAATTAAGAATAAATGTCCTCTGGGATTTATTGAATAATTAAGTGAATTTGCTACACAATACAAGTAATACCATAATTTACCTCTTAGCGTAGCCAACGTACATTACGCGGATAGACTGGAATTTTCTTGAAACGCACCTGGAAAACCTGGAAAAGTCAGGAATTTCATTCTCCTGTTTGAGTGGCAACCCTGATAAAGGTAACACACAAAACGTTAAAATAAGTCCTTTTGGTCATAATTTAAAATCTGAAACCTTTCAGATTTTATTTTTATTTTTTTGCACAGAGTACATGTATGTATGGGCAATTGAATAAACCGCTTGTAATGTACGTTTGCTTCAAAAAGGTAAGATATTGATTCTTTTAACAGTAAGATATTGTTTTTAGACAAGGACAAACAAACATGATTAGGAAATTTGAAGCAATGGGAACAGTGGAGGATTCAGCCAGGAAGGGGATGAAAGTGTATTGCAGCACAGCTAGTGGATGATGTAGCTATCTAAGTGGAGGAAGACAGATAACAAAGCATCGGCAGCACTAGTGTTCGGCGTATTGCAGCATCTCTTGACACACATCGTTCATAAGATTCTTCAAAATGTCTTACACTACTATCCCTATAAACTGTTGCTAGTACAGCAGCTCTTATCAGCTGATCTGGATAGTCGACAAACTTTTGCGTTGCGGTTTCTTGCGCGAGTTGAGCTTTAGGATGAATGGCCATGGAACATATTGTGGACCGACGAGACCCACTTTCATATGGAAGGTACGGTTAACACGCACAATTGCCGCATTTGGGCTGCTACAAACCCACATCAATTCCTACAAATTCCATTACACTCTTCACATGTAAGGGTTTGGTGCGGCTTTATTGTGGGTTCCTTTTTTTTTTACGAATAGCAAAGGGCCTGTGACATGCACCGTCACTGGTCAACGATACGATTCATTATTAGAGCAATCCGTTATTCCGGCTCTTCAACCAAGACGATGTTGTTAAAAATATGACTTATTGTAACCCTTTTTCTGCATCATCTCTCCTCCTTGAAATAATTCTAACTTTTACATAAGGTTTAGTTTTTATTTTAAAGGGATATAGCAATTACTTCTACTTCTTTTTCACTGCCACTGTTTGTATTAAGAACGGACCACGGAGTGTGGAACGGATTGTTCCAGCCTAATTACGATGCAAAAACGAAACTCGAGGTTACGTCATCCCGAAAGCTGAGTCGTGCCAACAGTTGATTTGTTGCCGTGAGATGACGTCATGACGTTCTGTACAGTGACGATTTTGTTAATAAAAATTCATTAAAATTTTACAAAAAATGAAATAGATAATTAAAAAATATATAACGTCATTCTATGAAGATACCGAATATTTTTAATCAGATATATTCAGATGATCTCGGGGTCATGTGACTTAAGTATAGCTAATGTAAAAAACGATGTAGATGACCTCAGAGATCACGTGAGGTTTTTACAGAAAATGAAATACATAATTAAAAAATACATAACGTCATTCTACTAAGATACCAAATATTTTTAATGAGATATATTCATGAACCTTATAACAGATAGACTAACCCAGTGGGCGGGGCGCGTGTCACCTACATGTCGGCAAGAAAGAGTAGGGACTATCTGGTTTACTTTAACACTGAAACCTATGGCGTTTGTATCACATAACTCTTTTTAATTATTAAATGTGATACGTTGTATAGTGATGAGATTATGAAAGCCACAGTTTTTTCCAAATATATAATTTAATTTCTTTACATATAATATATCTCATTAAAGCAGACTGCATTTCGCGCACTTTTTTCACGCGTAATTCTTGTGCAAACACCTTTACTTTGGTAAAACGGTAAAAACTCTAGGCACAAAATTTATGAACTTAATTTTGTGTACAAATAACGTAAAATTAAATAAGATTGATAGTACGTGATGTTTTAAAATAAATAAGGTAAAATTAAACAAGATCTGATAAATTTTTTAAAAAAAATTAATGAACATTTTCAGACAATGATTTTCCAAACTATAGCATATCTTTAGAATTTCCGCACTGGAGAAAAACTGTTATTTTCTGTACAGTGCTCACTCTGAACTCGTCGCGTTTGTTAATAAAAAATTCATTAAAGTTTTACAAAATGTGAAATAGATTAAAACAAATTCGAAATTTGGCCGTCCAGATGCCCAAGTTCGGGTGGAGGATAACATTATTCAAAATTTGATGGCTCTAGATACTGTCGGTATTGTCACAGTGCAAGAAACATACATGTATTCATGCAGATTCTTTATTATTTAATTTCTTTACATATAATACAGGGCGATAATATTTGGTAACAACAATTTGCAAGGAAACGTTTATAGTAAAACAGCGCAAAATGCCGCTTCAAAACTAACAGCCTTTCTAGGCTACCGCCCCTTTGGGCTAATAAATTAAATTAACAGTAAATAAAAAAAAATCTTATGCAGAACTAAAAATAAATTTAAAAAATAATCATTATAAAATACAAGCAAAATTAATTATTACGGTTAAATACAGTTTTAATATTAGAATTAAATGTATAAAAATTTTTAAGGAGTCAAAAGTGTTTATAACGGTGATGTATAATGAAATACAGGGGTTGGACAAAAATATGGAAACACCTTTTAAAAAAACATGTTTCTTTGCTTAATATGGTGTAGGAAACCCGTTGGCATCCAAAACAGCTTGCAGTCTTCTCGGAATGGATAAATACAGTTCCTGTATGTTTGCCAAGGGAATATTATACCATTCTTCCTGCAAAACGGTGGCAAGTTCAGATAACGATGTTGGCGGTGGATAACGAGAACGCACTTTCCGTTCCAATGTAGACCACAAAGGTTCGATAATATTCAGGTCTGGTGACTGTGGTGGCCAGGGGAGATGGGACAACTCATCCTCGTGCTCAGAAAACCAGTCCTGGACAATGTGAGCTGTGTGAACAGGGGCTTTGTCGTCTTGGAAGACACCATCACCATCGGGGAACAAAGTTTTTACCATGGGATGAACTTGATCGGCCAAAATGTTCACATAAGTCTTGGCAGTCATGTGCCCTGACACAGTTATCATGGGCCTAGCAGAGAACCACGATATGGCTGCCCAAACCATAACAGAACCCCCGCCATGTTTCACTCTTGGCAACAAGCAGTCTGTATTATAGGCTTGAGATGGCGTTCTCCAGACGTAAACTCGGCCAGAAGTGGGAAACAATGTGAAAGAAGACTCGTCAGACCATATTACTCGCTTCCACTGCTCTATAGTCCAGGCTTTATGACTTAAACACCAACTTTTCCTGTTACGGGCATTAGCATCACTGATGAGTGGCTTCTCAATTGCAG